ATTAAGCAGTGATATTAATTAAAATTACATAGCCCCATACAACAGATCACAGAATCACAGGTCATAAAGATGGATTCAGAAACTGGATTATATGGCAATGTAGGTCCAATCCTCTACAGCAGTGGTTCTCAACCTGTGGATCCTCAGATGTTTTGGCTTTCAACTCTGAGAAATCATAACCGCTGATAAACTGGTTGGGATTTCTGGGAGTTGTGGGCCAAAACACCTGGGGACTCACAGGTTGAGAACCACTGCTTTACAGAATGGAAAAGACTTTTGCCCTTTGCAGCAATGAAAGCAAACTGAGGACAAAGGAAGAGAGAGGAACTGGGTTGTTTTTAAAAGAGCTGGAAAAGTGGGAAGGCAGAGGATTAATGAAGATGAATGTAGACTTCTTATTATTATCATCATCATTTATATCTCACTTACCTGCATAAGGTGAGGCGCTGACATCTGCAAAGGCCGAACGTGCTCTCTCCATCCGGGACAGTGGGCGGCGCACCTTCACGGCTGAAAAGGGGACATAAAATGAGGGCAATCATCCATAGGGCAAAGATCAAGGGCGTATTCCTTAACATTTCCCAAATTAAAACTGAAAGCAAGAAGAAGCTGCAATAGTCTGCTTTTGGGAAGGACAAGGCCACAGAGTCAATTCAATGCAAATGTGCATTGCAATGTTTGGTGGCACAGTGGGTTAAACCTCTGTGCCAGCAGGACTGAAGATTGACAGGTTGCAGGTTCGAATCCAGGGAGAGGTGGATGAGCTCCCTTTATCAGCTTCAGCTCCTCGTGCAGGGACATGAGAAAAGCCTCCCACAAGGATGATAAAAACATCAAATCATCCTGGTGTCCCCTGGGCAACGTCCTTGCAGACGGCCAATTCTCTCACACCAGCAGCGACTTGCAGTTTCTCAAGTCGCTCCTGACACAACCAAAAAAAAAAAAAGCATTGGAAGGAAGTTGAGGACAAAGTAGGGTGGGGGGAGGGAATAGGAATGGAGCGTGCAGGAAAGGATCAACCAGAGTGTCCCAGTTAAGTGGAGGAAGTGGGAAAAGACGGGAGGCAGGTGCAATATAGAAGAGCCAGAGTTGGCTTTAGTTGAAAGGAGAGCATAGGGAATGGACTGTGACGTGAAACATCTGCAGCATTCTCAGGGAACACACCTGTAAATTCCCTTTGGATGGCCAGAGCCCGCTCCGTGGCCTCAGTACCCAGCCGCCCTTTGTACAGGACGCCATTCACGCCAAGGATGTCCACTTCGGTCTGGAGGGAAAGAGAGACAGTGAAAAATCCAGGTCCCTCCCTTGGTTTCTCTCCCTTGGGGACCAGCAGCCCCAGCCCTTGGTCACTCTCTATAGCTCCAAATGTAGAGGCAGCCAACTTCTGAGCTCAAAACCTGAGAAGCATTATCTCGTTATTATGATTATTATTAAAAAGGACATCGGTTTGGAGGGAGAAGAGAGGCAGTGAAGGGTTGAGAGAGGTCCAAGCCCCAACCCTGCACCCCTTTGATCAGAGGGGGATTGGGAGCATCCATTCAATTACTGGAGTATTGTGTGGTTTCCAGACTGTGTGGCCATGTTCTAGCAGTATTTTCTCCTGACGTTTCACCTGCACCTGTGGCTGGCATCTTCAGAGGATGTGATGGTAGTCAAGCGAGTGAACTATATATATAATGTCCAGGGTGAGAAAAAGAACCAATGTCTGTTAACCAAAAACTAAATGGTGCAATTAGCAAACTAGATTTGTTTGTGTTGAGTGGTATCCATGTGAGAAACCATGAGGATAGCATAGTCAATTAGAAGTTGCCTGAGGGCTGAGAAAAGCAGTATATAAATGAAATAAATAAATAAATAAGTAGCCTGTCCTTTGTTTCTTTTGAATAGTGTCTGGGTGGTGTTCATTAGTCACCATCTTGATTCTAGTGTTTTTCAGTACTGGTAGCTAAATGTCATGGTTTCTTCCTTTTGGTTGAAATTGTCCATATGCTTGTGGATTTCACTGGCTTCTCTGTGAAATCTAACTTAAGTGGTTATCAGAATGGTCCACAATTTTTTGTTTGCAGTTGACATTGTGGGGGGCCCTGGACCGCCTCTCCGCACCCCTCCCAGCCATTTCCCACCCTGTGAGCTTCCCTTTGGGTCTCACGTGGTCGTAGGTGAGAGCTGAGGGGTCTCCGTAGGGGAAGACGGTGCCCAGGTCCTGGGAGCGGGAGATGCGCTTGAGGGTGCAGGACTGGTGGTGGGCCTGGCACTGCCAACAGGTCTGCACAGGAGCCGCTCCAGAGCCCACTTCAGCTGATTCCAGATCCCTGAAAAAGTCACAAAAGGCCTTTAGGGCAGAGGCATCCACCTTGCAGCCTTCCAGGTGCTTTCGACTTGGGCTCCTGGAATCGCTGGCTATTGAATCAGCTGGCAGAAGGGGCTGAGGTGTGCATTATATTCAATGGCAAATTAGACTCAAGTCAAGATGGGTATTTAGAGGATGGTGGCCTCCTTGATTCCCCACTTTCTTCCTCCCAAATCACGGCTGTTCCCTCTCTTACTTCCTCTGAGGTCGAGCAAGGTACTCGTAGCCGTTGGCGCTGGCCGGACGGGGTCTCAGGGGCACCTTGCGGACAGTGATCATGTGCCTGAAAAGGACAAGAAGCAGGAGAGTGGTGACTCATTGCGTCATGCCATCCTGCCGGTCCCATTTATCCCGATTAATGCCCGTTTTTGAAGTGTCCCGGTTGCTCTACCTTCATTCCCCCCTTGGTCGCCAGCTGCTTTCAGTTGCTGCAAACTGAGTGCAAAGTGCAAAAAACGACCATGGGAAAAGGAAAGGGAAGCACTTCCTCCCATCAAAACTAGCTGCAGCCTCTACTGGCTTTTCTATGGAATTTTTAATCCAATCTTGCTATGTCAGTGCCAAGGGTCACCCTCAGTACTCACGGCCCGGTTGCCATGGTCACTGGCCGGTCACAGGAGATGCACTTCACTCTCTCAAAGAGCTGCCTGCAATAATAATAATAATAATAATAATAATAATAATAATAATAATAATAATAATAATAGAAACATGCAACTCAGATGCCAATAATAATAATAATAATAATAATAATAATAATAATAATAGAGCCATGCAACACAGCTGCCAATAATAATAATAATAATAATAATAATAATAATAATACAAAAGGGCAACTCAGTTGCCAATAGTGATGATAATGGGTTGTTGTAGGTTTTTTCAGGCTATATGGCCATTTTCTAGAGGCATTCTCTCCTGACGTTTCGCCTGCATCTATGGCAAGCATCCTCAGAGGTAGTGATGATAATAATAATTTAATAGAAGAATTGTGCAACTCAGTTGCCTATTATTATTATTATTATTATTATTATTATTATTATTATTATCATCATCATGTAATAAAAGAACCATGCAACTCAACTGCAAATAATAATTTTGTAGAAGAATTGTGCAACTCAGCTGATGATAATAATAATAATAATAATAATAATAATAACAACAACAACAACAACAACAACAACAACAACAACAACAGAATAGGAAGAATCATGTAGCTCAGTTGCCCCCAGGAAGCTGACTAGGCCCACTTGGCCCCTTAAGAGTCAAGCTGTTGGTCCGTCTGATAACCCAAAATGGTCAGCTTTCCGCAATGGTTCTTCCTCAGCCCTACTTGGAAATGCCTCCTATAGGACACCCGTTGCTTCCATTTTAGGGGGCCCTTAAACCTATTCCCTTTAGAATGCAAACACCCATAATCTCCCCAAGTTTGGAATGCAACACCCAGGATTCATGTGCCCATTTGGCCCCATAAGAGTCAGGCTCTTATCCACCCCAAATGGTCAGCTCTGACGAGGCTTTGCAAGGCTCACTTCTTGAAACCGGCAGCACTGTCAGCGTCAAAGCGGGGCCCTTCACTCAGGAACTTCTTGATGAACCTCCAGACTTCCTCCAGCTGCTGGCTCAAAGGGTCCAGGGCCATGCGGTCTAACTGGAAACGTCAAAAACCCAGTAAGGAAAGAGAGGCAGGCAAGGACAGGCAGAAGAAGGGGCGTTACAATCCTGTAAGAGCCTCCAATGCAATGCAATGCAATGCAATACGAAGGCATACCCCCTTCCAAAAAAAGCCCTGCTGACCATGCAATGCAGTACAAAGAACCCCACACTTGAGGAAAGCTCTGCTGCCCATACAATGCAATTAATTGTAAAGAGGCAATGCTCCAGTGCCCATGTAATGCAAAGGCAGACACCCCCCCCCCCCAGTAAAGTCCTGCTGCAAATGCAATACAATGGTGGACACCCCCCCCCCCCAAGCCCCACTGCCTAGGCTGAATGACCCACCTTGCAGTCCATATCAGTGAAGAGCTTCTCCAGGGCCTTCTGCCAGTCCTTGTCCTGGAGGGACATCTTCTGCAGCAATTCCTGCATCATCTCGCTCAGCTGAGTTGTGGCGGACTTCAGCTCCCCATGGTTGACCTTAGCCTCCAGGGCGCTCTTGTCTGCTTTCTGGGGTCACAGTCATCATAGTGTTAGACAGGACCTCAAGGGCCCATCCAGTCCAACCTTTTTTCACCAGGACACTATCCTATCTCTCCCAACAGATGTCCACCATGCCTCTGATTGTGGGATCATAGCTTTGGAAGGGACCCCAAGGAGTCCTCCAGTTCAACTGTATTCTGCCAAACAGAAAGACAACACCCAAGTCCTCCCGACGGAGGGCCAACCAGACTCTTCTTAACAACAATAGAACCATAGAATTATAGATTCAGAAGAGATATCACAGCCAATCCAGTTTAACCTTCTTATCCTAAGCAGGAAGACACAATGCAAGCCTTCCTGACAGATGGCCATCCAGCCTCTGCTTCTGCTGCTGCTTCTTCATCATCATCATAATATAGAATCACAAATTCGGAAGAGATCACCCAGTCCCAGTAATAACAACAACATAGAATCATAGGTTTGGAAGAGATCCCACAGCCAATCCAGTTTAACCCTCTTATGCTAAGCAGGAAGGTACTCTCCAAGCCTTTCCAACAGATGGCCATCCAGTTTCTGATTATTATTATTATTATTATTATTATTATTATTATTATTATTATATAGAACCATAGGTTCAGAAGAGGTCCAATATGCCATCCAGTCCTAATAATAATAATAATAATAATAATAATAATAATAATAATAATATAGAATCATAGATTTGGAAGAGATTCCAAGGGGCCGCCAATCCATTTTGGCCAAGCAAGAAGACACCATCCAATCCCACCATCCAATGCTTGAAAACCTTCCAGAGAAAGAGGCTCCCACAATTCCACTATATTTCACACAGAACAACAGGTCAAGAGCTCTTTATAGCACCTGAGGAGGCTCACTTTGGGGGCTTACCACATTCATCTCCTCCTGGATCAGGGCTTTGTCCGCTTTGGTGATGTCCAGCTGCTCCAGCATCATGCGCATGGCCTGAAGGGAAAGGCAGAAGCCACGTGTCAGACCTCTGAGGATGTGCCTTTAACCCCATATCAAAAGCCCAATAGCCCTGAACCCCACAGAAAGGGCAGAAATTGGGGACAACGTTGAGTGTCTTGACAACACTCGGTTCCTTTCTATTCAAGAGACAAGGAACAGCCAACTTTTTCTCTAGAGTACACTTTGGACAAATTCCTAAGATCCTCCTTGACTGTTGGTCATTGAGGCTGAGGATTCTGACAACTGAAGTCCATCTAGAGGACCACCCTGAGATGTCAACAGGCCTGCGAGTCTGTCCTCATTTGGAAGTCTGAACTTCCAAAGCCCTCTTGATTCCAACTGACCCAGATTTTGGCTTGTTCTCTGAAACTTTGCACTGAAATCAATAGGACTTCTGCTGTGTCCATAACCAATAAGGAGGCCCAAGTAGAAGTCCATAACCAAGAAGGAGGCCCAAGTGAAAGTCCATAACCAAGAAGGAAGCCCAAGTAGAAGCCTTCATGGTCCCCCAAATGCCACCTCCCCCCCAGGAAAGATCTCCCTTTGGGCTCTTTTCTCCATGGAAGTCCCCCTTGAAGTATCACCCACCTCCATGTCGGAGGTGCTCTTGGCCAGGCGGTCCACCCCTCGCTGCAGCTTCTCATAGTGTTCCTTCAGCTGCTCCAGCTGCTCCATGGTCCCTTTCAGGGACTCCCGCCTCTGAGGAAAGCAAAAGGGAAGGGAAGCACTGCAAGGTCCATCATCCATGGTTCCACCCCATGCCCTATATCCCCATCCGCCTCTGTGTGGACCGTCCCAAGTTTCCGCCTGGTGTCCCCAATGAGGACTAGACCTTTGCAGAAGATGATGTGATCAATCAATCGACAATAAATAGATAGAGTGATACAAGCTGTCAAATGGGGATGAGACAACAGGAAGTGAGAGGAATCTTCCCCTCAAAAGGAAGGGAAATCCACTCCTGAACGTTATTATTATGGGGAAAAGGGGTCTCTGCTGAAGCTTTATCTCTAATCCTTTACCACCAATTTTCCAAAATCCAGTTCTCACTAAAGGTGAAGGTAAATCTTCTGAACAACACAAATATCACAGGGGTGTTAACCCTTTCCCTATGCCATTCAAAGCCTGCCTATCTATCTATCTATCTATCTATCTATCTATCTATCTATCTATCTATCTATCTATCTATTTTACTATCTATCTGGCTGGAATTACAGTTAAAAATGTCCTTGTTCCGACTTACAAGCAAATGCAACTTAAGAGCAAACCTAAAGAACCTATCTTGTTCCTAACTTGGGGACTGCTTGTATATACGGCTGAAATTACTGTTTTTGTTGTTTTAATTAATGTTCTATTTATTGTTTTAATTGTTGTTTTATTGTGTTTGTTATATGTAGCGGCATTGAATTGTTGCCAAGTGTAAGCTGTCCTGAATCCCCCTTCGGGGGTTGAGAAGGACGGGGTACAAATGCTAGAAATAAATAATAATAATAATAATAATAATAATAATAATAATAATAATATGGATAGAGATAGATAGACGTTTCTTCAGTTTTCCTACACATTGACCTTTGAATTCAGATCTTGCTGTTCAGTACATGTAATTATCATGTACAGTACACTCTCTGTTAACCAGAACTCTCAAACAAACAGCAAAATCAAAGAAATCATACCGCATTCACAAAACTGTTTTTATAATATTGTCAAACTATGTTGCATGAAGTCAAACTTGTCTTTATTTATCTTTATTTGCTTTTTTAACAACAGTGTTTCAATATTTATTTTAACACTGCTAACATAGTGTGAGTTAGGACTGTTTTTAATTGTAACTCTCAAGCAACCAGAATCTAAATTTATCCGGGATCATCTACTGATTCCCATGGATGTCGGTTCAGAGCTGCTATTCAAATCTGTGTCTACCTCAGCCCTGTTGACTTTTAAAAGCCTTCTTTAATGTTTTAACTGTTTGCTATTATTAGATCTAGTAGTAGGTCTAGTCATGTCCGACTCTGCGGGTTGGTGCTCATCTCCATTTCTAAGTCGAAGAGCCGGTGTTGTCCATAGACACCTCCAAGGTCGTGTGGCCAGCATGACTGCATGGAGCACTGCTACCTTCCTGCCAGCATGGTACCTATTATCTACTCAGATTTGCATGTTTTCGAGCTACTAGGTTGGCAGAAGTTGGTGCTAACAGCGGGAGCTCATCTTGCTCCCCGGATTCAAACCGGTGACCTTTCGATCTGCAAGTGCAGCAGCTCAGTGGTTTAACCTACTACACCACCGGGGGCTCCAGATCTAGTAGTAAATATGTCCTAAATGTTTGGTTTATATATTTAAATTTCTAAGATTGTTATTTTTGAGTGTTCTATAAGTACACCTGATGTTGTTTATTTTATTGTTTATGATTTGATCTGTTTGTTATGTTATGTCGGCATTGAATGTTTGCCAATTTTCTGTTGTAAGCTGCCCCGAGTCCCCTCTGTGAGATAGGGCAGTATAGAAGTAAAGTTTTATAATTTTATTATTTATTATAGTGCAGGAATTAAGCAAAAGTCAGGTTTGCAAGGCCTCCAGTTTGTGGCCTGCTTTTCGCATGGATGGTGCACACAATACCAGGTGTTTTAATGTTTGAAATGTACCCTTTCAGTATATTTGTAGGTTTTCAGTTGTATTGAAATGCTTTTAATATATATTTTTACTTATTTTATCATGATTCAATACATTTGTTATACTTTTAATGTAAGTCGCATTGAGAGAAAAAGTGGGGTATAAATAAACATAGTAATAATAACAATAACAATAACAATAACAACAACAACAACAACAACAACAATACAGGAAGGCATGGACTCCTCTCCCATTGTCCCCAAATCACCTGCTCCTCCTGCAGCTGCATCCTATCCATTTGCTCCATCAGCAGCTTCAGTTCAGCCGTCATATCTGGAGCAGCTGGAGCGGCTGGGAAGAGAGGTAAAAAGAAGGGGCAAATAGACCTGGGCTGGGGCAGTCTGCTGGGGCAGAAGCAAGGGCTGCCTCTGGGCATGCACACAGGGCCTGCTCACCTGTAAGCCCCAACTGCTGCTTGAGCAGCTCCTCCATCGCCTGGATCTGGGCCTCGAGGGCCTCCTGCTTCTCTGGCAGCTGGACCAGGGTAGCCAGTATCTCCTGGGAGGACGTCAGGCGGTCTTCCTTCTCTTCATCTGGGAAGCTCTGCAACAACACTCTTTCCCTCGCATTTGCAGGCCCCTCTCCCCAATAGGATGCCAAGGGGGCAGACTGCACCTCCCAGCATCCCCTGGCAAACGTATTTAGGAAGGGATCCTCCCCATCTGAGGAAATGGCTAGGTTTTGTATTGCACCTCACGGCATCCCTCAGCCAACATTACACTATGTAACATGATTTTTGTTCCTGGGTTGTAGGTCATTATTTCCTACGTAATTGGTTCTATCACAAAAAACATAGGAAAATATTATTAATCTGCAAAAACTTTGCAGATTAATACACACATTTTGTAATGAATACCTCTTCATCGAGTCTCAACCAATTCATCAGAGTGTGTGGCAGCCACCAAAGTGAAGAAATTTCTGGAGTAGAACAACCACTTTCTGTTGGAAAAACTTACAATCTTGCATGCACATTGAAATGGCTCTGCAGTCTCTATGTTTTCTGTGTAACTTAACTCTCTTGTCTTGTACGGTTTTATGGCACCCCCCTTTAACTATTTGCATGAGGTTTCAGGGAGCTTCCTTCGTTGCAGATATGGCCCAAGTCATGTAGGCCGCTCCAAAGACTATAAAAGAGAGATGCTCCTTTGTCTGAGTGTTGATTTGGTCTTTCGCCAAATCAAACTATCTACCTATTTGCCTGCCTCATCTACCTACCTATATACCTGCCTATTGTTTGCCTGTCTCATACCTACCAATCTATTGTCTGGGTGTTTATTTGGTCTTTCACCTCTACTCTTAACAGAGTGACCATCATCTGTTTCCAGCTATGTAGTTTCGCATGCCGCGTGGTCACCTTAGGCCCATGCTCTAAAGCTAGAAAATGCTACCTTTTAAAACTCTATTTTTGGATTGTTCTTTTGAGCTACTGCAACAAAGTTATCCATGTACCTGAGTGATCTTTCACTCAAGATTTCATGAATAAACTACTTTTTATTGCATCAACCAGTTGATGTGGAGTCTTTTGTTCTCTAGTGGCTCTGAATGCGTATTCCTTTGCTTAACTCTGCCTGTATTCTTCCTTTTGAAAGGCAAGCTGTCCTATCTCATACCTCTGGCTCTCCCGTTGTGTTTCACTCTGTGAATGTGATGCTTTAGAGGAAGGTATAACTTTTTTGAACAATTTAGTTTGCATTGTTGAAGGCTTTCATGGCCAGAATCACTGGGTTGTTGTAGGACTTTCAGGCTGTATGGCCATGTTCTAGAAGCATTCTCTCCTGGCCTTTCACCTGCATCTATGGCAGGCATCCTCAGAGGTTGTGAGGTCTAGATTTAGTTTGCCTCCAGTCAAACAGCCAAGCCCTTCCACGCTCTAAGCGTTTAAATAATCCCAATACTTTCAACGTAAGTGACGCACACTTAAACAGAAAATATGTAACACTTTCAAACCAGGAACAGATTTTGTTACATTGTGTTATTGGGATGGAGTGGAAACAGGGCATTAGAAAGGTTCCTCCAAATCTTGGGATGTGGCTCTCTTTTGGGACTGCACCACGATTGAGATTGGAGAGTAAATGGTGCATTGGAAAGACCTGTTTTGGACTGCACCTCCCAGGATCCCCCAGCCATTGTTGTTGCGGATGGAGAGGAAATGGTGCATTGGAAAGGATTCCTCCTTATCTTAGGGAATAGCTCTCTTTGGAACTGTACCTCCCAGCATCCCTCATCCAACATTGGAATGAAGAGGAAACTGTATATAGGAAAGAATCCCGCCAGACCTATTTGGGACTGCATCTCCCAGCACCCCCCAGCCAAGGTTATAGGGATAGAGAAGAGATGGCAAGGGTTCCTCTGGATTGCGCCTCCCAGTGTCCCACACCTTGCCAGTCAGCATCTCACACAGGGCGCTCCAGTGGACCAGGTCCGAAGTATCAGTGGCCTCGGTAATCTTCACCTTCTCTTCAGCCTGAAAGAACAAAAGAAAGGGGCTTTTTTCCAAGCAGAAGTATGAACTTTGTAGTACCCTCCCAAAAGCTCTTTGACCCCTTCTCAAAGGTCTTTCCTGAAAATCTGATTACCTTTTCTCCCCGGAGCCCTTCCAACATCCCAGCCTTCAGGTCCAGTTGCTGGAGCCGCTCTTTCATTTCCTCGACACCGAGCTAAGAAGGAAGGACAGCCTCTGAGCACGTGCAGAGTGCAGGTTCTCCACCCAAACTTTAAAGATAGCCCCAAACACAGGATGCAGCACTTTGGACAGCGCCTTTCGAAGTCCAAACTAAATCCCGGAGCGGATCCCCGGCCTTCGAAGTGTGTACTACTCACATTGGTGAAGTTAGTCTTCAACAGCCCCAGCTCCTCCTCCACATTAGTGGTTGCTGCTCGAAGGGAGTAGATGTTGCTCAGGAGATCCTGCAAAGTGTTCATGGCCTAAAAACGGGGAGAAGAGGAAGGAGAGTAAGGATAGACTTGGCTGAAGGCGGGATTGGAAGCAAAGGAAGGAACCAAGAAAGGAAACTAGAGTTGGGTCGATAGGCCCATTATATTATTACACTATGTTACACTATTCATCCATCCATCATCTGCCTGCCTCATCTCTCTCTCAATCTATCATTTGCCTCAATCAAGCTATCTAGTAGCTAGCTATCTGCCTGCCTCATCTATTTATCTGTTTGCCTGCCCTATCGATCTAGCTATCTATTTATCATTTGCTTTCCCCATCTATTTGCCTGCTTCATCTACCTACCTATATGATTGCCTGCCTCATTTGCCTATATACCTATCTACTTACCATTTGCCTGTCTCGTGTTTATCTATCATTTGCCAGCCTCATCTACCTAGCTGTTTGCCTGCCTCATTTATCTAATAATAATAATAATAATAATAATAATAATAAACAACTTTATTTATACCCCGCCACCATCACCATGGGGACTCGGGGCGGCTTACATGTGGCCAAGCCCAAACAACAAATTACAGCAAAATAAAACCGAAAAGGAAAACAATAAACAACATCATAATTACATAAAACATATGAATACATAACAATATAAAATTACAGTAAACACAATCATGGTGGCAATGGGCAGGCTACATGTAATGATTGAAAGAAAACTAATTAAAACTCGGGTGTGATAAAGGAGAAGCAGGTTCTTTGTGGAGGGGGGCTCATTAAAACAGAAGTTGTGGAATCAAACTTTCCCATAAGGGGAGAGGGATGTAGACTCCAATGACAAAGCATTGAGGCTAAGCAATAGTGTGAGGTTGTATACCTACTTACCAAAGGCCTACCTACCTGGTTTTTTTTGCCTATCTCATCTGTTTATCTATCATTTGCCTGCCTCATTTACCTACCTACCTACCTTCATACCTACCTGCTTACCTACCTATCATTTGCCTGTCTCATCTATATATCTATCTAGGTATCATTTACCTGCCTTATTTACCTATTACACTAGCACATTTTTGTTCCTGGGTTATAAATGTAATTATTTCCTAATTGTTTTTGGGGTGGCCACAAACTAGGTGGAGCCTCTGGTGGCGCAGTGGGTTAAAGCACTGAGCTTCTGAGCTTGTTGATCGAAAGGTCGCAGGTTCGATTCCAGGGAGCGGCGTGAGCTTCCGCTGTCAGCCCTAGCTTCTGCCAACCTAGCAGTTCGAAAACATGCAAATGTGAGTAGATCAATAGGTACCGCTCCGGCGGGAAGGTAACGCGCTCCATGCAGTCATGCCAGCCACATGACCTTGGAGGTGTCTATGGACAACACTGGCTCCTCGGCTTAGAAATGGAGATGAGCACCACACCCCAGAGTCAGACATGACTGGACTTAATGTCAGGGGACTACCTTTACCTTTACCTTTACAAACTAGGTTGAATTGGTTGATACTCTATCAGATATGCACCATTGAATCTAAGGTGCACCTCAATTTTCAAAACCCTAAAATCATAAAAAAATGGTATTTGTTGGTGAATAATAAGTGCAGCAGCAAAAGGTGCCCTCTTTGTAATATGGCCGTTACAATTGCTGCCTGCTTAGAATTCCTTCTTTAAAACCAAAGTGACTGGGTACCAGAGCTTCCATCAATGGAAAGGAAAACATTGGGATGCATCTATGCCAGTGGTTCTCAACCTTCCGAATGCCACAACCCCTTAATACAGTTCCCCATGTTGTGGTGATCCCCAACCATAAAATTATTTTCGTTACTTCTTCATAATTGGAATTTAGCTACTGTTATGAATCATAATGTAAATGTTTGATATGCAGGATGGCCACCTCAGAGGTAATCTTCTCGGCCAAAAACACTCGCTTTCCCCTTCAGGCACGGTTTATCTTATCACAGCCTTCCCAGCTGTTTGGTTGGCCCTTGGAAGCTTCCAAAAGACTCTGAAGAGATAAACCTTCCTTGCCTGGCAAAACCAGCAGCGAAATAAGCAAACGGGGATAAATAAACATCTCCCTTTAGAGTAGGCATGGGCCAACTTGGGCCTTCCCTCCAGGTGTTTTGGACTTCAACTCCCACCATTCCTAACAGCCTCAGGCCCTTTCCTTTCCCTTCTCAGCCTCTTCAAGGGCAGTATTTCTCAACCTTCCTAATGCCGCAACCCTTTGATACAGTTCCTCATGTTGTAGTAATCCCCAACCAGAAAATTTAATTTTGTTGCTACTTCATAACTGTAATTTTGCTCCTGTTATGAATCATAATGTAAATTATCTGATATGCAGGATGTAGTTTCATTCACTGGACCAAATTTGGCACAAATACCCAATACGCCCAAATTTGAATACTGGTGGGGTTGAGAGGTGGATTGATTTTGTCATTTGGAAGTTGTAGTTGCTGGGATTTATAGTTCACCTACAATCAAAGAGCATTACTAATAATATTACAATAAAATGATATAGTACAATATAGTAATATATAATACTGATATTGTACTATGCTAATAATATAATATATTGTATGTATATATATCTTGTAAGCTGCTCTTAGTCCCCTTCGGGGTGAGAAGGGTGGAATATAAATGTCATAAATAAATAAATATTATGAACTCCACCAACAATGGAATTGAACCAAACTTGGCACACAGAACTCCCATGACCAACAAAAAATAATGGAAGGATTTGGTGGACATTGACCTTGAGTTTTGGAGTTGTAGTTCACCTACATCCGGAAAGCACTGTGGACTCAAACAATAGTAAATCTGGATCAAACTTGGCACAAATACTCAATATGCCCAAATGTGAACACTGGTGGAGTTTTGGGAAAATAGAGCTTAATGTTTGGAAATTGTAGTTGCTGGGATTTTTAGTTCACCTACAATCAAAGAGCATTCTGAACTCCACCAACGATAAAATTGGTCCAAACTTCCCACACAGAACCCCTTCGAAGGGACTTGCTGGCATGAGCCTCCCTCCGGCTTTGCACACTCTCCCTCGCCCCCACATGCACACCACACTGTCATGCGCTTGGCACACCTGCCCTCCCCACTTGGAATCTCAGAAACAGCCCGCCCCTTGGCTGAGAGGCCTGCCAATCACAGCAGAAGGACTTTTAGTGGGAGGATTCACCATCTGTCTCCAAAAAGGAAGAGAAGGACAGGTGGAGAGATCTTCAGCCTTCTCTGCCAAAGGGCTTCCTAAGACCATCAGAAATATATATTTTCTGATGGTCTTTGGCGATCCCTCTGAAACCCCCTCGCAACCCCCCCAGGGGTCCCGACCCTCCGGCTGAGAAATGCTGATCTAAGCTGTAGAATAAATTCACTTAAATTGCCTTGGTTCAATGCTATGGAGTCATAGGGCCTGTAGTTTTAGAAGTCTCAGCCAAAAAGTGAGGATGCCTCTCCAAACTACAAATCCCAGGATCCCATGGCAATTCAATTACAGATGACATCCCTCAAGGAGGAGCTCCAGGTGCAGCTTCCCCTTTGGCTTTGGCTCAGGACTAAGATGACTCGTGGGATGCAAATCTAATGCCACCCTAATGTTACATTCAAGTAAATACATCAGTGTTACATTCAAGTAAATACAGAAGGGAAACTTCGAGATCTGATGGGAGTTGTAGTTGTCCATCTCCCGCTTGCCTTGGTCATGGCTGCCTCGTTGAGCTCCATCTTCTTCTGCAGCTGCATCATCTGCCACATCTCCTGGGCTGGACGGGCTGGGCCGTGGCTGCGATCCAGGAGCTCGTCTGTGTCCGGCGTGTCGTCCAGGAAGCTCAGCCGCCGTTCCAAGGCTGCCATGCGCTCCTGCAGCTGGTGGAAAAGAGAACTGGACTTCTTGGCTGGCATGATACTCTCGGTCGAGAGGGTGCGAGTTGGCGTGCGCAGGAAGTCCAGCTCCTCAGGCGTGACCTCCCGCTTGACATTGGTCAGGTGGAGGTGCTCCAGGATGCCGTGCAGCAGGAGGTGGAGGGCATTGAAGTTGACATGGCCCAGCTCTGGCGTTCCGATGGCCAAGTTAATCAACTCCGAGAAGGAGAGGCTGCGGCTCATGGTTGTGGCTTCTATGAGGGGCCCTTCTGGCCTTAAGGACTAAGCAATGGCAACCAGGCAGGCCTGGCTATGCGAAAGTGAAGAAGGCAAGGCCTCAGCATTCTGGTTCTTGGAAAGTTTATCCTGTTGCTAAGAGACGACGCTGTGGAACGCAAGCAAGTGATCAAGGAGGAGGAAGAGGACTCCGGAAGAAGGAAAGGGCCAGGCAGCCAGAGATGCAGCCACAAGGCCCACAAGGCCACAAGGCCCCAAATCAGGAAGCTCTAGCTTCAGAGCCCTGAAACCGTCCTGTCCTTAGCAAACCCCACAAATTCCCATTATCCCCTTTGCTTTGGAAGTGGGCAAAGAATGGACCCATTAGCCGGCATCTACATTGTTCAATGGATGCTGTTATAAACCACTTGAACTGCCACAGCTCAAGGTTTTGGAATCTCAGGAGTTGTAGTTTTCCATGACTTTTTAGCCTTCACTGTCAGATTATTGTTGTTGTTGTTGTTGTCCTATGCTCAGTGTAGACTAGGCATGGGCAAACTCTCCAGGAAAGTTCTTGGAGAACCGCAACTCCCAAGAAAGGCCTTTGGAACTGCAACTCCCAGGAAAGACCTTGGAGAACCACAACGACCAGAAATGGTCTTGGCTAACAGCACCTCCCATTGCCTTGAGGCAGGGCAGGCCAAGTGGGCTTGAGGTGTCATCCTTTCAGAGTCATCGTTGCTGAAGGTAGAGGCTGGAAAGACCTTGGGAACTGAATCTCCCAAGATTCAGTTCCCCAACTGCAACTCCCAGGAAAGATCTTGGGGAACTGTATCTCCCAGGAAAGACTTTAGAGAACTGCATCTCCCAGGAAAGAACTTGGGGAACTGCATCTCCCAAGAAAGGCCTTTTAGAACTGCATTTCTCAGGAAAGTCCTTGGGGAACTGCATCTCCCAAGAAAGGCCTTTTAGAACTGCATTTCTCAGGAAAGACCTTGGGGAACTGCATATCCCAAGAAAGGCCTTTTGGAACTTATTTTCTCAGGAAAGACCTTGGGGAACTGCATCTCCCAGGAAAGACTTTAAGGAACTGCATCTTCCAAGAAAGGCCTTTTAGAACTGCATCTCTCAGGAAATACCTTGGAGAACTGTATCTCCCAGGAAAGGCCTTTTGGAACTGCATCTCTCAGGAAAGACCTTGGGGAAGTGCCTCTTCCAAGAAAGGCCTTATAGAACTGCAACTCCTAGGAAAGACCTTGGGAACTGCATCTCCCAGGAAAGACCTTGGGGAACTACATCTCCCAGGAAAGGCCTTTGGGAACTTTTGGAAGAGGCCTGAGGCTGTTAGGAATGGTGGGAGTTGAAGTCCAAAACACCTGGAGGGCCCAGGTTTGCCCATGCCTGTTGTAGACTCCCATATAATGCGGTTCAATGCAGTTCAACTGCTGCTACGCGCCTAAAGGGCATTCTAGGGGTTCCAATGTCGCCTCTCCAATCAAAGGTCCTGGGTTCCAATCCGGCTCCACTGCTCCTGCCCCTCCCCTCCGCGACAGGTGGATGCGCGCGCAGCTGATTGGTCGCCCAGCGGGGAGCTTGCCCCAGCCAGGCCCCGCCCCCTCCTTGCGAGGCCACGCCCCCTCCCTCCCTCTCTCCCTCCACCCTTGGGGAGAGAAGGAGACCGCAGAAGCGAGAGAGCGGGAGGGAGCCATCGCCGCCGGAGGGCCCTTCCTTTCCTCCTCCCGCCCTCCCTCCTTCCGACCCTTGGCTTCCGAGGTGAGATCCCCCCCCCCATTTGTTTCTATTCCTTGGACCCCCATCATTTAATTCGACCTCAAGGGGAGGGGGCTTCTGCCTCTGTGTGTGTGTGTATATGTCCTTCGCGCAGTGATTTCTGGGAGTTGTAGTCCCTGGGAGGCACCTGGGGGCGACGGAGGGGCCCAAGGAAGGAGGGTGAGGGGTGGGAAGACCCCGGATGTTGGGCGGGGGCCACGTCTCAGAGGCAAAAGGGGTCCAGAGGGTCCCAAGGCCCTGAGACCCTTGGAGGAGGGGGCGCCTTGACCCCGCCGGACTACAACTCCCATCAGCCTCGGCCGAGGAAAGATCTCGAAGAGTCCCTTCAGCTGATAACAGTCCAATGGTATGAAATCCTGGAGGCTGTCGTTGGGCAGAAGAAGCTCAAGGAAGGGCCTTGGGGAACTGCATCTCCCAGGAAAGGCTTTTTGGAATTGCATCTCTCAGGAAAGACCTTGGAGAACTGCATCTCCCAAGAAAGGCCTTTTAGAACTGCAACTCCCAGTAAAGACCTTGGAGAACCATAACTCCCAGGAAAGACCCTGGGGAACTGCATCTTCCAGCAAAGGCCTTGGAGAACCACAGCTTCCAGGAAAGGCCTTTGGTAACTGCATCTTCCAGGAAAGGCTTTTTTTTAGCTGCAACTCCCAGGAAAAACCTTTGAGAACTATAACTCCCAGGACAGACCTTGGAAAACTGCAACTCCCAGGAAATGCCTTTTGGAACTGCAGCCTTCGAGAACTCTCAGTAAAGACCTTGGAGAACCACAGCTCCCAGTAAAGTCCTTTTGGAACTGCAGCTCCCAGGAAAGGCCTTGGAGAACTGCAACTCCCAGGAAATGCCTTTTGGAATTGCAATTCCCAGGAAAGGCTTTTTTTATCTGCAACTCCCAGGAAAGACCTTTGAGAACTACAACTCCCAGGACAGACCTTGGAAAACTGCAACTCCCAGGAAATGCCTTTTGGAACTGCAACCTTTGAGAACTGCAACTCCCAGGAAAGACCTTGGAGAACCACAGTTCCCAGGAAAGACCCTGGGGAACTGCATCTTCCAGGAAAGGCCTTGGAGACCCACAACTCCCAGGAAAGGCATTGGAGAACTGCAACTCCCAGGAAAGTCCTTTAGAACTGCACCTCCCAGGAAAGGGCTTGGGGAGCTGCATCTACCTAGAAAGGCCTTTTAGAACTGCAACTCCCAGGAAAGGCCTTTTAGAACTGCATCTCCCAAGAAAGAACTTTTGGAACTGCATCTCTCAGAAAAGTCCTTGGAGAACTGAAATTCCTAGGAAAGGCCTTGAAGAACTGCAACTCCCAGGAAAAGCCTTTTGGAACTGCAACTCCGAAGAGAGGTCTTCTGGAATTGCAACTCAACTCCAAGGAAATACCTTGGAGAACTGCAACTTCCAGGAAAGGCATTTGGGAACTGCACCTCCCATTGCCTTGAAGCAGGACAGCCCAGGAGGGCCCCAGGCGCCATACTTTCAAAGCATTCTTTGCAGAAGCATAGCCTTTCCTGCGGAGCTCTCCCTGGTGCTGAACCTGCTTCTTTCCCCAAAGGGGCCAAGGCTAGACTCAAACCCAGGACTCTTGGGTCTCCTTGCATGCCTTTGCGCCCCATTGGCGGGTCTTTGGAGCCTGTTGGCTTGGAGCGCCCCATCTCAAAGTGTGCAGCGCTTGGGCCAAAAGAACTTGCAGTGCTGCTTCTGGAGGAAGAGGAGAGACGCAGGAATCAGAGCCATGAAAGCAACCCTTCCCGGAGTCTTGCGCTGGTTCCGTGGCCACGGTTTGCAAAGGCCACGGTTTGATGCCAAGGACCCCCAGCAAGGACAGGCAGGGGAGCATGGGCTGCCCCCAGGAGAAGAAGCAAGGAATCATGGGATCCTAGAGTTGGAAGGAACCCCCAAAGGCCATCCAGTCCATCCCTCTCATGCCAGGCAGGAAGGCACTGTCTGATCTCTCCTAACAGATGGCCATCCAGCCTCTGCATAATAATAATAATAATAATAATAATAATAATAATAATAATAATAGAACCATAGTATCATAGAGTTGGAAGAGATCCCAAAGGCCATCCAGTCCAGCCCCTTTCTGCCATGCAGGAAGGCACTATCGGATCTCTCCTGACAGATGGACATCCAGCCTCTGAATAATAATATAATAATAATAATAATAATAATAATAATAATAATAGAATCATAATGTCATAGAGTTGGAAGGGACCCCCAAAGGCCATCCAGTCCATCCCTCTTCTGCCAGGCAGGAAGGCACTATCTGATCTCTCCTAACAGATGGACATCCAGCCCCTGAATAATAATAATAATAATAATGATGATGATGATGATGATGATGATAGAACCATAGTATCATAGAGTTGGAAGAGATCCCAAAGGCCATCCAGTCCAGCCCCTTTCTGCCATGCAGGAAGGCACTATCTGATCTCTCCTGATAGATGGCCATCCAGCCCCTGCATAACAATAATAATAATAATAATAATAATAGAATCATAGTGTCATAGAGTTGGAAGAGATCCCAAAAGCCATTCAGTCCAGCCTCTTTCTGCCATGCAGGAAGGCACTATCTGATCTCTGCTGACAGATGGCCATCCAGCTCCTGAATAATAATAATAATAATAATAATAATAATAATAATAATAATAGAACCATAGTATCAGAGATCCCAAAAGCCATCCAGTCCAGCCCCTTTCTGCCATTCAGGAAAGCAGTATCTGATCTCTCCTGACAGATGGCCATCCAGCCTCTGAATAAAATTAAGCCCCTGCTTAATACTACTACTACAAGTATTATTAATAATAATAGAACATTAGTATCATAGAGTTGGAAGAGATCCCAAAATCCATCCAGTCCATCCCTCTTCAGCCATGCACGAAGGCACTATCCAATCTCCTGACAGATGGCCATCCAGCCCCTGCATAATAATAATAATAATAATAATAATAATAAATTAGTATCATAGAGTTGGAAGAGATCCCAAAAGCCATCCAGTCCATCTCTCTTCAGCCATGCAGGAAGGCACTATCTGATCTCTCCTGACAGATGGCTATCCAGCCCTGCATAATAATAATAATAATAATAATCATCATCATCATAGAACCATAGTATCATAGAGTTGGAAGAGATCCCAAAAGCCATCCAGTCCAGCCCCCTTCTTCCAGGCAGGAAGGCACTGTACAATCATCTCCTCTCTTATACTCTCCTCCTTTCCAGAAGCCCCTTCCAGCCCCTCTCCCTAACCTCTGGGCCTTTTTTTGACCTCTGCTCTTTGGGAGACCCCAGGAGGGATGGACGCTCGGCCAGACCCTTCTTCCCATTGCTGCAGACAGTAGCCAAATGACCAAAAGGGGCCCTTGGACATTCAGCGGAGGAGACCCCAGAGCTGGCCTTTTCCCCCAAGAGCAGGGAGCACGTCTTGGGTGTCGACAAAGGCGCCTTTGTCCCGGATGGCTGAGCCAAGGCTCTGTCCAGTTGGCGGCCGCAAAGGGGTCAAGGCCTGAATGGGCGGCCTCTCATCTGCATGCAGAGCAAGCAGCAGCAGCCTCACCGCCTCCTTTTTGCAATGGCAGGGACCTTTGCTAAGGGGGGGTAGGTGGGTCTTGGCCAGGGATCCCTTACAGAAGCACAGGCTGCCCCCTAATGCTGCGGCCACCCTTCCTGCTCCCTCTTTCTTGCTCCCTCTGTGTGTGTTTTTTTAGCATCACGTGGCACTAATCACGTGGTGGCAGGCCCTGCTCTGTGGCAAGTGGATCTGGGGCCGCTCTCCCACCAAGGGGCAAGTGAGGGGCTTGGGGGGGGGGGCGTTTCTTAGCGGCTTCTTTAAGTTTGAATGGGAGGCAGGAGCAGGAGGGGGCTCTCCTCCAGTGGCTTCAGTTCCAGTCCCAGCCCGTTGGGTCTTCCCTTCCTCAGGGACCCTTCCTCTGCCCACTTGGGCCACTGCCCACTAATTGCAGTGGGCACCTTTAGTAAGGCCTCTCAGCAAGGGAGTGGGCCACTCTGGGCACCTGGACAGTTGCCTCTTCCAGGGTACTTTCCGGGGGTATATTGTGATTTGGAGGCCAATCTGGATCCTGACTTATGAGTTGTTGTTGTTGTTGTTGTTGTCATTCTTCTTCTTTTTTGCCTTCTCTTTCTCCTTCACCATCTCCTTTCTCCTCCTCTTTCACCTTCTTTTTCTTCTTTCTCTTCCTCCTCTTCTTCATCTTCTTCCCTTTTTTCTTTGCCTTCCCCGTTTCCTCCTTCTTCTTTTCCTCCTTCTCCTTTTCTTCTTCTTCACCCTTGCCTTCTTTCTCCTTCAATTTTTAATCCCTTTGCACTTCTTTTACTCCTTCTCCTCCTGCTATCTTTTCCTCCTTCTCCTTCATCTTTTCTTCTTATTTCCCCTCTTTCTCCTTCTCTTTCTTCTTTGCCTTCTTCTTTTCTTCCTTTTCTTCTTCTTCTTCTTCACCCTCACCTACTTTCTTTCTTCCTTTCGCTCACCTCCTCCTCTTCCTCCTCCTATCTTTTCCTCCTTCTCCTTAATCTTTTCTTCTTCTTCGCTTTCCTCTCTTTCTCCTTCTCTTTCTTCTTTGCCTTCTTCTTTCTTCCTTCTTTCTTCTTCCCTCACCTACTTTCTTTCTTCCTTTCACTCACCTCCTCCTCTTCCTCCTCCTATCTTTTCCTCCTTCTCCTTAATCTTTTCTTCTTCTTCGCTTTTTCTTGGCCTTCTTCTCTTTCTCCTTCTCTTTCTTCTTTGCCTTCTTCTTTTTCTTCTTCCCCTTCTCTTTTTCTTTTTCACCCTCACCTTCTTTCTCCTTCTGTTTTTCTTTCTCCTTTGCTTTCCTCTCTTCTTTACCTTTTTCTCCTTCTTTTCATTCTCCTCCTCCTTCTATCCTCCTCCTCCTCCTCTTTCATCTCCTTTTACTACTTTCTTTGCTGCTTCTTTGCCTTCTTTTTTTCATTCTCCTCTCTTTCTTCTTTGTCTTCCCCATTGCCTTCTTCTTTTGCTTCTCCTCTACTCCTTCACCCTCACCTTCTTTCTTCTTTGCCTTCTTCTCTTCTTTTCCTCCTTCTCCTTCATCTTATTTTTCTTCTTTCTCTTCATGTTCTTCATCTTCTCATTTTCTCCTTTTCTTTCTTCTTTGCCATCTTCTTTGCCTTCTTTTTCTCCTCCTCCTCCTCCTCTTCTTCACCCTACCCTTCTTTCTCCTTCTGTTTCTCTTTCTCCTTTGCCTTCTTCACTTCTTTTCCTCTTTCTCCTTCACCTCCTTTTCTCCTTCTATCTTTACTTCTTCTATCTTCTTCTTTTTCTCCATCTCCTATCTTCTCCTTCCTCCTTCTCCTCCAAAAGGCCAGTTATCTCAGAAGGCTTGACCATCAGCACCACCTGCTAAATCCCTGCTTTCTTCCTGCCACTTTGCAAGCAAGGCTTTGGGACTCCAAGCCTGGATGATGGGCCTTGTAGTTCCCAGGACAGAGATGGTGGCCATTTGGGAGCTCTGCCTCCTCATAACCCTGAGCATAACATAACCCATGTTACCCCTCTTTCTCCCCTTTTGCACAGGGCTTCCAGGAAGGATGTCCAGCGACCCTCCTCCCCCATACCCTGGGGGTCCCTCGGCCCCTCTCATCGAGGAGAAGGATGGCTCCCCGTTCCCTGTAGGTGAGTGGCCCCTTGACTTCCCTCTGGATGGGAGCCCCCAGGGTCACTTTGGCTTGGTTCACAACGTCTACACAAGACCTCATAAAGACTGCAATGCATGGACACACTCTTCCATGCATTGTATCATAGACTCGTGTAGTTGGAAGAGCCCTCTTGAGACCATGCAGTCCAACCCCGTTCTGCCTTCATGCAGGAAAAGCACCACCAAAGCACCAATGACATCCAGCTTCTGTTTTAAAGGCTCCAAAGAGCTTCCACTACACTCTGAAGTAGACAGTTCCAATACTGAACAGGATGGAAGTTCTTCCTAATGTTCAGGCAGAATCTCCTTTCCTGTCATCTGAACCCATGACTTCATTGAGTTCTCGTCTTTGAGCAGTGGAAAGGAAGTCTGTCCCCTTCCTTATGATACCCTTTCACATATTTATGCAGGGTAATCGTGTCTCCTCTCAGCCTTCTCTTCTGAGGCTAAACAGACCCAGCTCTTTAAGATGCTCCTCTCAGAGGGATTATTCATGGTCTCCAGACCTTTAATCGTATTAGTTGCCCTCCTCTGGACACCTTCCAACTTAGAGTCAATGCCTCTTTTAAATGGTTTTGTCCAGAATTGGACACAGGGTTATTCCAGGCAAGGTCTGACCAAAGCAGAAGAGAGAGACTCCATAACTTTCCTTAATCTAGCCAAGGCATGTACTAACTTGGGCCCTCCCTCCAGGTGTTTTGGACTTCAACTCCCACCATTCCGAACAGCCTCAAGCCCCTTCCTTTTCTCCCTTAGCCACTTAAACTGAGGGTTTCCCCTGATATTAAGTCTAGTTGTGACTGACTCTGGGGGTTGGTGCTCATCTCCATTCCTAAGCCGAAGAGCCAGTGTTGTCTGTAGACACCTCCAAGGTCATGTGGCCAGCATGACTCCATGGAGTCCTGTTGCCTTCCCGCCAAAGCGGTACCTATTGATCTACTTACATTTGCATGTTTTCGAACTGCTAGGTTGGCAGGAGCTGGGGCTAACAGCAGGAGCTCACCCTGTTCTCCAGACTCGACCGCTGACCTTTTGGTCAGCAAGTTCATTATTATTATTATTATTGTTATTATTATATCATTGTTAATATTACTTTTGGGAGCCCCTGGTGGTGCAGTGGGTTAAAGTGCTGAACTGCTGAGCTTGTTGACCAAAAGGTAACAGGTTTGAATTCCGGGAGCAGCGTGAGCTTCCACTGTCAGCCCCAGCTTCTGCCAACCTAGCAGTTCAAAAACATGCAAATGTGAGTAGATCAATAGGTACCGCTCCAGCGGGAAGGTAACGGCGCTCCATGCAGTCATGCTGGCCACATGACCTTGGAGGTGTCTACGGAGAACGCTGGCTCTTCGGCTTAGAAATGGAGATGAGCACCACACCCCAGAGTCGGACACGACTGGACTTCATGTCAGGGGAAAACCTTTACCTTAACTCTATTACTTTAAAAGATGTGTTTTGAATGTACGCCACGATAGCACTACCCCACCCATGGCTCTGCCAGAGACCACCTGCGGGACATCAAGGCTTTGAGGTCCCTCATTCCCCCCAAATGGCTCATTGCCCCCCCCCCCATGTTGCTGCTGCTGCAGCTGCAGCATTTCTGCCTCCATTGCAACCTCACTGGAGCCAGAACCACTTCCCTGGGGACAGAGGCCTGCAAATGCTGTTGTCCAGGGGGACTTCTCTCCACTGGGCCATGGGGCCTCCGTTTCTTGCAAAGAGTAGCCAACATGCCCCTTTCTCTGTCCTTTGCAGGCCAGGTGCCTCCTTCGGCCCTGCAACCACCACCGCTGGACGTGGGCCCCCCTCCCTATGAGGCAACCCCTCCACAGCCGGGCTTCCTGCCGCCAACCCCCCTGCCCTCCGCTGAGGGGCCCATGCACCCCTATGTGGCCCCACCAGGTGAGTGAATGGGGCTTGGCCTTTGGGGTTGCAGTCCCAAAGTTGTCTTTCATGCCATATTGACTCGAATTTAATGCTCACCTTTTTTGTCTAAATTACTTTGCCAACTTTAGGGTTCACGTTAGATTTGCATAATATAATCATACTCCGGAGCCAAAGCAAAAGAGGAAGCTACTTCAAGAGCACATGGAGCTCCTATTTGAGGAATGTCACCTGTAATTTAAATATCATAGATCAATGCTATGCAGTCCTGAGATTTGTAGTTTGATTTTTTTGGTCTGTCAGGAATTACTTGAGAAACTGCAAGTCGCTTCTGGTGTGAGAAAATTGGCCGTCTGCAAGGACATTGCCCAGGGGATGCCTGGATGTTTTGATGTTTTACCATCCTTGTGAGAGGCTTCTCAATATCCCCGCATGGAGAGCTGGAGCTGACAAGGGAGCTCATCCACACTTCAGTCCTGCTGGCATAAGGGTTTAACGCATTACACCACCAGCATTCTTTGGTAGAGAAAGTACAAGGCCTTGTAAAAACTACATGATGCCATAGCATTGATCCAGGGCAGTGAAAGTGGATTCATTCTGCAGCATAGAGGCACACCAAAGTTTTATTTTCCTTTGCTGGAAACTTTGGTGTCCTTTTTAAAGAAGGAATTATTAGCATTCAGCCACCTTTTTGGCCAAACTACAAAAAGTGCACTTTTTGCCACAGCACATGACATTTTGGCACAGCAAATCTTTGTTTGCTTTCAGGGTTTTGAAAATTGGGTGCATGAGACTCAATTAAATATGGGAATTTGTCTGGATTGCTATGCAAATTATACTAGATGGTTTAAATATTAGGGTATAAGATTCTAACTGTTTTTCCAAGAAGACAAGCATTCATAAATCCCAGTTCTCAGAGGAATCAATTAACATGTGGATGCAAAGCAAAGAATGTTTCTATTTTCACAGTCCCAAGTAATCGACCTTTATATGATAACTTGTCTTTGGAAGAGATCTCTGCACACTTCCAAGTGTCTTACAGAAGAGCCGAACTGAGGAAAGGAAGGCCCGCTTCAGTTATGCGACCGGGTCAATTTTAAGTTGTGAATTGTAATCTGCATGTTGTCAGTGGGCTCTGACTTGTGTCTTTACTCTTGTGCATTTCATGTCTTTATCCCTTCTTTTAATGATATTGTCTCCCATCTCGAACTGCAAGGAGACGGATAATACATTTGTTATTATTATTGGAATCCAGCTTGGGAGTGATTCTTGATTCGTCACTGAGCATGGAACCCCAGATTTTGGCGGTGGTTAGGGGAGCTTTTGCACAACTAAAACTTGCACACCAGTTGCAGCCTTACCTTGGGAAGTCTGACTTCTCCACACTCTTGTTACATCCTGAATAGATTACTGCAATGCACTCTATGTGAGGTTGCCTTTGAAGACTATTTGGAAGTTTCAGTTAGTGCAACGGGTGGCAGCCAGGTTGCTCACCTGAGCAAGGTACAGGGAGCACACCCCACCCCCCATTGTGTCAGCTCCACTAGCTGCCAGTCTGCTATGGAACACAATTCAAAGTGCTGGCTAGAGCCTATAAAGCTCTAAAGGGTTCTGGCCCAGCTTACTTGTCGGATTGTATCTTCCTCTATGAACCGCCTCGGAGGTTAAGATAATTGAGGAAGGCCTTGCTCTCGATTCCACCCCTCACAAGCACAATCGGGTGGGAACAAGAGACAGGGCCTTCTCAGTGGTGGCCCCCCACCTGTGGAACTCTCTCCCTAATAAAATCAGGTCGGTCTCCTCCCTCCTGTCCTTAAAAAAAAAATCTTATAACATGGTTGTGGGACCAAACATTTGAGCAGCAGACACAGCGATAATAATGTAAATGACTTATGTGACTCACAATGGACAGACCTCGGATTGTGACTTTGGATTTGTATAATTTTAAATGGATGGTTTGTAATCAATGTTTTAATTAATTGTTTTGATTGTAATTGTTATTATAATTGTTGTGTTTGGTATCTAATGGTTGCTGGTTGTGAGCTGCCCTGAGTCCCCCTCCCCTCAAACAGTCCCTCTCTCCCAAACAGGGCTCAGAGTGGTTTACACACAGAGACAGGCCAACATTCAATGCCTTACAGAGGGCAAACAACATCAGGAATCATACAAAATAATAACAGTAAACTTATAATTATTGTTGTTATTGTTATTATTTATACCCCACTACCATCTGCCTGGGCAGTTTACAAGGCAGTCAAAGGTGCAACACATAAAATACAAAAAATGCAGAAACAGTAACATAAAGCAGTTACTGTTTCAAGTAAACATTGAAATGAGGACTAGGTAGCAATAAACCAAGTTAGACAATAAGCGAAGGCATGAGTGAACGTTAAACTTATATCATTAAAAGCAGTTAGAAATGAATTGCATTTGAAATGGCTAACAAGGGTGTTTATTAAAAATATATCATAGCCGTCATAGAGAGCAAATGGGTTTGCCAGCGTTCCGGTGCATTACAGCATCTTAGTCCTCCTCCTCTCCATATGCTAAAGTGCACAAATGCGTTTTCAAGAGTTTGTTTGAAGGGGAGGAGCATGGGGGCTGTTTTTATTTCTTTAGGAGGGAATTCCAGAGACGGGGAGTGATCACAGAGAAGGCCCCTTCTCGTTCCCACCAGCCGAGCTTAAGATAGGTGTAGCACTGAGAGCAGTGCCTCCTCCGCTGCCACGACCCCTTAATACGCTTCCTTATGTTATGGTGACCCCCCAACCATAAAATTAGTTTCGTTGCTACTTCATAACTCATTTTGCTGCTGTTATGAATAGTAACAGATTGGGGGAGGGTATTGATTTTGTCCTGTGGGAGTTGTAGTTGCTGGGGTTTATAGTTCACCTACAATCAAAGAGCATTCTGAACTCCACCAATGATGGAACTGAATCAAACTTGGCACACAGAATTCCCATGACCAACAGAAAATACTGGAAGGGTTTGGTGGGCACTGACCTTGAGTTTTGGGAGTTGTAGTTTACCTACATCCAGAGAGAACTGTAGACTCAAACAATGATGGATCTGGACCAAATTTGGCACAAATTCTCAGTATGCCCAAATGTAAACACTAGTAGAGTTTGGGGGAAATAGACCTTGACATTTGTGAGTTGTAGTTGCTGGGATTTAAAGTTCACCTACAATCAAAGAGCATTCAAACCCTACCAAGGATTGAATTGGGCCAAACTTCCCACACAGAACCTCAATGACCAACAGAAAATGCTGTGTTTTCTGGTGGTCTTTGGTGACCCCTCTGACATCCCCCCGTGACACCTCCAGGGGTCCCGACCCCCAGGTTGAAAAACACTGATTTAGGGCTTTTTAGGTAATGACCAGCACTTTGTATTTAGCTTGGAAGCAGACCAGCAACCAGTGGAGTTGTCGCAGCCTGGGAGTTGTCCTCTCACAATACGGCACTCCAGTTAGCAATTAGCTGTCAATCTCTGCACTAATTGCAGCTTCCAAACTATTTTCAAAGGCAGCCCCACGTAGCGAGCATTGAAGTAGTCCAAACGGAATGTGACTAAGGTGTGGACTACCATGGCCAAGTCTGGCGTCTCAAGGTATGGGTGCCACTGGTGCACAAGTTTTAATTGTGCAAAGGTGTTCCTGGCCACTGCCGATACCTGGGTTTCCAGGTCAGCGATGACTCCAGGCTCATTCCCAAACTGTGAACCTGTGTCTTCAGGGGGAGTTTGACCCCATCCAACACAGGCTGTAATCCCGCACCTAGATCTGCCTTCCGACTGACTCGGAATACCTCTGTCTTTCTGGATTTAATTTCAACCTATTGGCCCTCATCCAGTCCATTATTGATGATGGGCACTAGTTCAGGACCAGGACAGCATCCTTGGCATTTGGTAAAAAGGAGTGATAGAGTTGGGTGCCATCTGCGTAAATTTGGCACCAAACTCCAAAACTCTGGATGATCTCTCCCAGCGGTTTTATGTAAATGTTAAACAGCATTGGGGACTTAATTGAACACTCAGGCCAAGGAGTCGAACAGGAATCCCCCAGCTCCACAATGTCCCCGAGCCCCAACCCGGAGAGGCGGCCCAGAAGGATACTATGACTGATGGTATCGAAAGTCGCTGAGAAATCCAGGAGAACCAGAAGGGACACACTTCCCTTGTCTAGTTCCCTTCGTAGATCATCCACCAAGGGGACCAATGCCGTTTCAGTTCCGTAACCAGGCTTGAAACCAGTTTGAAATGGATCCAGATAATCGGTTTCCTCCAAGAAACTCTGAAGTTGTGAGGCCACAACTTCTTATTTCATTTTCAATATGTTTTTTCAGCTATTTTTATGAATGTTGACTGTGACATTTTAATACCGTGGATATTTAATTCTGTTTTCATGTTGGTATTTTTTAAATTGTAGGGAAATGCTTCTAATGTCAGCTGCTTTGCATCTCCTTTGTGGAGAGAAAAAGTATTAAAAAACAACAATATTTGGGGGAGGGGTATAAAATGGGACACGTTCCCCTATTGCTAGGAAATGGAGACATGGCCCTATTTGCACTTACCAAGGCAGGACACTGACATCCATGAGAAACAATGTTGTTGTTGTTTTTTTATTAGCATCCCATTTTAGCTCTCTAAAAACCCAAGAGACTCAAAGTGGCTCACAATAAAACCAATGTGATATAAGTCAAAGCCTACAAATCGAGACAGGGACAAACAGACTGAATGTCAGATGCTGCTGATTGCAGCCTGGGGCTCCTGGATCGATTCCTGACCGGTTGGAAAATGGATTTTGGATAAACAAACAAGGCCAGGAAGTGGTCCTGTGTCCAGCTCAGAGAGATGCGGTCACTTGAGGTTGTGGCTCTGGGCTGACCAAAGGTATAGCCCAGGCATGGGCAAACTTGGGTCCTCCAAGTGTTTTGAACTTCAACTCCCACAATTCCTAACAGCCTCTGGCCCTTTCATTTTCCCCCTCAGCCACTTAAATCCAAAATACCTGGAGGGCCAAAGTTTGCCCATGCCTGGTATAATGGTTCTCTTGTTGGAACAGGATCCTGGGAGTGATTTGGAAGAGAGGAAGGCAATGAATTTGTTGTTGTTGTTGTGATATTTGATCCTGTCTTTGCTGAAGAGTTGGGTTCTGGTAGTGCTTTTGAGGGAGTTCAGGCCCCTCACTTGGAAGCCCCTCTCTAAGTTCTCTCTTTCTCCTTCCTTCCCTTCCTTCCTCCCTCCTCTTTTCCCTTCCTTCCTTCCCTTCCGTCCTTCCTTCCTTCTTTTCCTTTCTATTCTTCCCACTACTTTTCCCTTCCCTCCTTCTCTTTTCTTTCTTTGCTCCTACCTTCTTTCTTCCTTTCCTTTCCTCCCCTTCTTCTTTCCTTCCTTAATGGCTTCCTTTCCTCCCTTAATTCCTTCCCATTTTCCTTCTTTTCCTCGTTTTACTTTCTGTCCTTGCCTTCCTTTGTTTCTTCCTCGTTATATTTTCTGTCCTCTCCTTCCTCTGTTTCTATACTTTCCCTCCTTTCCTTTACCTTTTTCTATACTTTCTGTTCCTTCCTTCCCTTTTATATTTTCTTCCCTTGCTTCCTTCTTTCCTTCTATCCTTTCCACCTTTTGTTTGCCTTTCTTTCCCTCTACACTTTCCTTCCTTCACTTTCTGTCCTTCCCTCCTTCCTCTTTCTGCCCTTCTTCCTTTTTCCTTCCTTCTTTCATTCCTTCCTTCCCATCCTTCCTTGTGCCCCCCCTTTCTTCCCTCCTTTCCTAGGCGGCTACTATGTCCATCCTGGCCCGCACCCCCCAATGGGCTACTATCCTGGCCCGGGGGGCCCCTACGCTCCGATGGGGGCCCCAGGGGCGGGGTCTACAGCAGTGCTGATGCCCTCGGTGGCGGCGACCACGGTGACCGTCCTGCAGGGGGAAGTCTTCCAGGCGGCTCCTGTCCCCACTGTCTGTCCACACTGCCAACAGGCCATCACCACCAAGGTCAGCCACGAGGTTGGACTCATGAACTTCCTGCTGGGCTTCTTCTGCTGCTTCGTGGGGTACGTGACAGGGGAGACCGGGCTGTGCTGGACTGGGGGGGAATGGGCAACCCTTTGGGTTCACACCCTGCTTGCGCTTCTTGGACTCAGCTGGCCTTACCAGTGATTCTTAATCTGCGGGTCCCCAGATGTTTTGGCCTTCAAGAAATCCTAACAGCTGGTAAACTGGCTGGGATTTCTGGGAGTTGTAGGCCAAAGCAGGTTCAGAACCACTGCGCAGGAGCTTTCCTAACTGAGAGATCACTGGCCTTACTTACGCCTTTTCTTCCTCCCTCCTCTCCATCCTTCCAGGTGTGACCTGGGCTGCTGTCTGATCCCTTGCCTGATCGACGAGTTCAAGGACGTGACCCACACCTGCCCCAACTGCAAGGCCTACATCTACACCTACAAGCGCATGTGCTAGCGAGAGACAGTGAAAGGCCCCCTCCCTCCCTCCCTCGACCCCATGCCCCCATCCTCCTCCTCCTCCTGACTTGTGTCTTCCTTCCATCACAGAGAGAGTCTCCAGGTGCTACAAAGGGGCTTCCAAGAGGGAGGGAGGGAGCTGTGGGGCCCAGGAGTCTCTTTGCAGGGTCTCCTTCCCAAAGAAAGGAAATGACCCACTCGCTGGCAGGGAAGGCCTCCTCCAGCTGTGCTTCCACTCCAATGGCACTTTCTGCACGAAAAGGGAACTCCTCTCAGCTCCGCTCTGGGTCTGCATGCAAAGGGAAGCTGAGTGGAGGACGATGCTGAGTGCATTAGCTTTTAGGGACTGAGGCCCCTCTCGCCCGGCAGTGCATGGGGGGTGGCCTGTCAGGGCTTTCATTCTATGCAGCCGGTCAAGTCCACAAAGGCTTTTGCAGCGCCTTCCCTACAGCCCTGTCTTTGATTTTCCCCAATCGTTCTCAGTTCTTCCTGTTCTCCTCCTTGGCCATATTTTGCACTGTGTTTACATTCACGCAGGTAGCAAGCAGCAGATGAGGGAAATGGAGGAAGGAAAGACAGAGCCTCAAGGGAAGAAGGAAAGGAAGCAAGGAAAAAAGGGGACAAACCAGAAACCCCTTCTTTCCTGCTGGACGCCCTCCTTCCTCCGCTCACCGTTTCCCTTCCCTTGGGCTGCGTTTGTAGGTCCGAAGGGAGGCCGGGAAAGGGCCCGTGAGCCACTTTGCAATCAGACTTCCCCGTCCCCAGCATGTACATAGAAGCAGGTGGGTTTTGGGCTTCCCTTAGGATTTTTTATCCCCTGTGAAAAGTTCGAACTGTGACTGACCCTTGCACGCCTCTCCCCGTTTCCTCCCATTTTGCACTGACACCTCCTAGAAAGGCCAGGGAAAACTATAGAGCCAAGAGCCAGAGGGCAGAAACTGGCACTGGAGGCCTAGTATGAGCGCCCCGCTCTTGGCCCAGTTTGACCAGTTCCTCGGCGCCGTCCATCCCAGTTGGATCTTCCGTCCCGATTGGATGAAGGTTGTAGCCACCAGCCCATCGTCCACAATGTCTTCCGAGCCCGTCAGGAAGGATACTCCCAAGACGAGTGACCGGTCGGTTTCCATGTTAGTATGTAAATAAAAAGACAAGACCCACAATGCCGTTGTGTGTGTGAAGCGCAATCACTGGGGGAAACGATTGTTTATTTATTTATTTGTGACATTTATATGCTGCCCTTCTCACCCTGAAGGGGACTCAGAACAGCTTACAAGATATACATACAATATATTATATTATTTGCATAGTACAATATCAGTATTATTACTACAATGTATTATACCATTATATTGTAATAATTAGTAATATTACATGTAATATAAATATATAATTATAATCTATTATTAGTATTATATTGCATTACATTATAATATTATAATGTAATGCAATGTATTATATTAAATTATATTATATTAGTAACAACGTCTCAAAAAGGTATGGGTTGCAATGCCTTCCCATGGAACATCCCATTTTGGCAATACCATCATCCCAATGGCTTCATTGGAGCCCCCGGTGGTGCAATGGGTTAAACCCTTCTGCCGACAGGACTGAAGACTGACAGGTCGGAGGTTCAAATCCAGGGAGAGTGTGGATGAGCTCCCTCTGTCAGCTCCAGCTCCTCATGCGGGGACATGAGAGAATCCTCCCACAAGGATAGTAAAACATCAAAACATCCAGGCGTCCCCTGGGCAACAGCCCTGCAGACGGCCAATTCTCTCACATCAGAAGTGATTTGCAGTTTCTCAAGTCGCTTGTGACATGAAAAAAAAAATGGCTGCATTTCTGGCCTCCTGATGCATTTCCTGCAACAGCACTCTACTACTTTCCCCCTCTGCGCACAAAAGAGACACATCACTGGGATTTGAGACACCAAAGTATAAATTTCTCTTTATTACATGAGAGACATTACATGGAAAACTAAACCGTTAGCATCTCCCCTCCCCACCGCACACCGTTATGTACAAGTCAGTTCCCGTTTCATAATCATATTTTTAGAGGTTTTAGGATTACCAGTTCTGGAGGCCGATGCCCTTGTCAAGTGTGCATTTGGAAGAGGGCAAAGCTCTTGCTCCCAAGGAGACCCCTCCCCCCCCGGCACCCCCAAAAGCATAGCAAAAGGAGCAAAGGGGAGGGGCTTTGGGACAGAGACCACAAACCGCCACAAGTGCACACACCCCTCACACGCATACATACACGCTCCCAAACTCTTGTCCTGGTTTTTTTTTGGGAACACCTAATACGCGTGGCAGGCAGGTTTTCAGGTGCATTTGGGTTTAATGGTTCCATAGTTAAATTCCGAAGTTAAATCTCCGTTCCAGCTCCAAGTTCTTACATCTGGTACCAGGCGGCAAGTCCCACGGCCAGGAGGGCCACGCAAACCGCTATTGCCACCTGGGCCGAGGGCTGCTGCAGCAGAGCCATGGGGCAGCCACAGGGGGCCCCCGTGCCACCTATTGGGGGGGCAAAAAGACACAATCAGGCCCGGAAAGAAGTCCCCAAAGGACCATACCTCCAGCCTCATAGCTGCCCCCCCCCCATTTGGGAGGGAAAAGAGGGACTCACCCGACTTGGCGGCATAAAAGGGGCACTTGCGCACGTCCCCTTTCCCATCATGCACCGGGAGGCCACCATCTTGGGTTTCTTCTGTCAACAAAGCCCCGATCTTATCCAGTTCTTCAAAGACCTGCGGTGAAGAGACATCTGATTTGCATAGAAAGCAATGGGGGATAACAAGGAGAACGCTGTCTGTACTATGTACCTCCTGCCTTATTTTCACCTGTTTCCTAGATCTATGGGGTTACTCACTTTTCCCCAAAAGTCTTTTTCAGGTGGCTCCTGCCTAGTAGAGGAGAGTTACATCTGTCCCTTCCATCTGCAGTGGCCCCTCCCTCCTTCGGCCCCCAAGCCCTGCCCACCTGCATGTTGAACTCAAAGGCCCGGTTGGCCTCCTTGACGACCTCCTCCTTGGTTTCTGGGTCCAGTTCCAGGGCATTGAGCCGAGCACGGTAGAGCTGCTTGAAGCCCTGGGCACTGGAGACATTATCAAAGGCGTAGAAGCGGAGCCCTTCCCCAGAGGCTGGCAGCCCGAGGGCCCGCTGAGCCACCTTGCGCAGCACCTGCCCCCCCGAGAGGTCCCCCATGTAGCGGGTGTACGCGTGGGCCGCCAGCAGCTCCGGCCGGTGCTGCCCCACATGGCGGATGCGCTCCACGTAGCGGCGGGTGGCCTCTGAGCAGCCCACCGCCCCCCGCCAGCCCTCGCCGTAGAAGTAAGCCAGGTCCTGCTCCAGCGCCGGCGCCCGGTGCAGCTCTGCAGGAAAGTAGAGTGGGGCGAAGGCCGGGTGGTCCTTGTTGCGCTCCATCTCCTCCTCCAGCGCCGAGTAGGTGAAGTACAGCGCCACCGTCCCCAGCTGCAAGGCAAGGCAATGGGAAAGGAAAGGAGATTCCCAGGAATCCCAGGAAAGGAGATTCCACTTGAATTTTATTAGGAACTTCCTGGCTGTAAGAAGAGATGTTCAGCAGTGGAACTCTCTGCCTCAGAGTCCACTGGACAGAGGCTGGATGGCCATTTGCCAGGGCCAATTTGATTGTGCTTTTCTTGCATGGCAGAAAGGGGGTTGATTAAACGGCCCACGTGGTTTCTTCCAATGCTATGATTCTAACAAAGATGGCAATGCTGCATCCAGCATCATCACCCCTCTTCCAACAACAAAGATGCTGAGGAATTCCCAAGATCCCTCTAGTCTAGCACCAACCTGCCAGGCAGGGAGAGGACTGTTGGGTGAGTGGGCTTATTAACGAAAGAGCCCCCTCATCAATGCACAGCTGAGTAACTTATTCGCATCAGTGTTACCCAGCACCAGTAGCCCAAACTCATAAAAAGCACAAAAACACACAAACCAATGTTATCTCTTCCATAGAAGGCTTTTCTTTGTAGTAAAAAAATACAGTTGCACTATTTACAAGAACAAGGTTTCCACCACACAAATAAAGTCCTTTATAATTCCTTCTTTACTTCCATGCTGGGCTTCTTCCTCATGCAGATAAACAGCTTTGCTCTCAGAGCCTCCTCTCACACCAAAATAACACAGGAGCTTCAATAATAGCTTTACACACAATGCCTTTAACCTAGGGCTTCTTCTACAGAAGCTTCTCACACCAGGCCTTCTCACACTCCACCTTCTCATAGACTAAGGCCAACTCACACAGTGAGGCTTGTCTCACTGACTGAGAACTTTCTCCTACAGTGGGGTCTACTACCACTCAGGCCTATTCTCCAACTGAGGCGATATCTCACACAGAGGCATATCTCACACTGAGGTGTACTTCACATTCCTCAGGACAACACTAGCTTTGGCCCACTAACCCTAACAGGCTGTAGCCTACTTATTCTTTCAGTGCTTGACTCACACTTTTGTAATCAAAAATACCCAGTTAATTTTTAATATTTCTGATAAAGACTCCTTCTGATTCCTGCTGTCAGGTGGACATTCATCCAGACTCCAACCCCTAGAACAGTGGTTCTCAACCAGGGGTCCCCAGATGTTTTTGGCCTACAACTCCCAGAAATCCAAGCCAGTTTACCAGCTGTTAGGATGTCTGGGAGTTGAAGGCCAAAAACATCTGGGGACCCCAGGTTGAGAACCACTGCCCTAGAAGTTGGAAGAGACCCCAGGGGCTGTTCAATCTAATTCTACCATTCAAGGACACACAATCCACATCCTCCCGGCAGATGTTACCCCCAGCCTCTGATTGGGAGCAATAACAATTGCATAATCAAGGGCCACTGTATTCCTTCTGCAATAGTAAGAAGGCCCTCCTTGGCAACCTACCTTGAAGAGCTCCCGCTTGATCCTCCCTTTCAGGAACTCCTTGACAAACTGGGTGTTTTCAGCCCGGTCGTGTGCCTCCTTGGTCCCTTCCTTGAGCAGCTCAGACAAGTCGGTGGGGCTGAGAAGTAGACACAATAATAATAGTAGTAATGTATGTAGCCTGCCTCTCCTTATAGCTCGAGGCACATCATCATTAAAATCACACCATCACAGTGTTGGAAGAGACCCCAAGGCTTCTAGCTCCAGTCCCTCAGGCCTCTCTCCAGCGAGAAAATAGGTGCATAATAACACTATGTAACAAAATTTGAAAAAAAAAATCTGTTCCTGGTTTGAAAGTGTTACTTCCTGTTTAATTATGCAATTCTTACTTTGAAAATATTGTATATACTAGAGTATAAGATGAGTTTTTCAGCCATTTTTTAGGCTGAAAAAGCCCCCCTAGGCTTAGACTCGAGTCAAGGTTGTTTATTATTTTACCCTGTTGTTATTAGTATTAGATTTATTATTTTACTCTATTATTATTATTATTATTATTATTATTATTATTATTATTATTATTATTATTATTACTTTTACATTATTTTACTCTATTATTATTTTACCCCTTTTATTATTATTACATTTATTATTTTACTCTATTATTACCGTTTATTATTACATTTATTATGTTACTCTATTATTATTGTAAGGATACGTAAGCACATTTACATTTACTACTCTGTTGAATTGGATGAGACTCAATGAGATATTCATTGAAAAACAAGAACAAAATGTGCAAAGTCAAAGTTTTGGCAGTTTAATAAACTTTTTCCACGTTTTCATGATAGAACATTTATAACCCAGGAACAAAAATCGTGTTACATAGTGTAATAATAATAATAATAATAATAATAATAATAATAATAATAATAATAATAATAATAATAATGCCTTGCATCTGATGCCCACCTGATATTATCTTCCTCCTCCTCCTCCTGGGCCTCTTCATAGGTGAGGTTCTCCATCTCCTCCAGGGGCTCAGCCACATCCGATGACATCCTGAAGGGGAACGGTTTGGGCTGCGGACGATGCCGGTCAAGCTTCCTCTCGGACTTCTGTCTACTATCCATTACAAAGAAAAGAGTCCCCATCCAGAGGAGGACATTGAAGATGGAAGACACCAAATGCTTGCTGTTGCTGTTTACCTGGGGCTACTACTTGCACACTGATGAAACACTCATAATACCATACCACCATATTGAATCTATTGAGCGCCTCGATTTCCAAAACTCTGAAGCCAAAAAAAAAAAAAAAAAAAAAAATGCTACTGCAAAATGCAGCCAAAAGTGCACTCTTTGTAATTTGGCCATTTTAAGTGCTCCCTGCTTTGAATTCCTTATTTTAAAACAAAAGGCTTCCATCAATGGAAACAAAAAATATTGGGGTGCATCTATGCTGCAGAATTAATCCACTTTAATGGTTCGGGCCCCACCTATCTACACGATCGCATCTCCTTCTATGAACCGGCGCAAACTCTAAGATCTTCTGGGGAGGCCCTCCTTTCGCTCCCACCACCGTCACAAATACAGTTGGTGGGGATGAGAGAGAGGGCCTTCTCAGTGGTGGCCCCCCACCTCTGGAACGCCCTTCCAAGGGGAATAAGACAGGCCCCATCCCTCCCCTCCTTTCGTAACAGCTTGAAGACCTGGTGGTTTCAACAAGCCTTTGAGAATGACCAGTTCTAGTCAAGCCCCAAACATTATTGAATATGGCCTTGCACTTCTTACTTATTATCCCGGTCATCCCGCTAATAGGCCCTGGGAATGAGCAGCCACAGACCCATACCTGCTATTTAGCCTGTTATAGCACTGTACTTAATTCCCGTTCCCCTCAAATTTTGAGTTTGCACTAGCCTTGGCCCGGCTTTTTAATTGCTCTGAATAGGCAGGATTATTTTTAATATAATAATAATAATAATAATAATAATAATAATACTTTATACCCCGCCACCATCTCCCCAAGGGGACTCAGGCGGCTTACATGAGGCCAAACCCAACAACACATCAGTAAACAACAAAGCAATAAGCAAATAAAACAATATAGCCATGTTCTAAAGGCATTCTCTCCTGACGAATGCCTTTAGGACATGGCCATATAGCCCAAAAAAACCTACAACAACCCAGTGATTCCGGCCATGAAAGCCTTCGACAATACATAAAACAATATAATTAATATAACTCACATATAGACAATAACACGCAAAAATTTAAAAACCTATGGCCGCAGACAATATACATGTGTTATTGTAATAATTTTATGCTTATGTTGTTTTGTTAATTTTATGTTATGCTGTTTACTTTGTATGTTTCCGTTATGTTACTTGGAAACCACTCTGAGTCTCCCTCAGGGAGACAGAGAAGTATATAAATACAGTATTATTATTATTATTATTATTATTATTATTATTATTATTATTATTAATTGCCTTGTGTCAATGTGATGGAGTTATGGGAGATGTAGTCTGAGACGGTCTCGGGGAGATAGAGTGGTATATAAATATAGTATTGATTTAGGTCTGCTCATATGTTTCCACTAACGCCCCACCTCCTTATCTCGTCCATGTCCAGCATCATTTTAATTTTTAAATTAAATTTGGCCTAGCCATAGATTTTAAAAGTGTACTATTGTCAATGCTCATGTTATTGTCTATGTGATTTATTTTAATTGCATGTATTGTTGTTGTTGTTGCTTGTATTGTTGTGTTGTGGGCTCGGCCTCATGTAAGCCGCACCGAGTCCCTTGGGGAGATGGCTTGTTGTTCATTCGTTCAGTCGTCTCCAACTCTTCGTGGCCTCATGGACCAGCCCACGCCAGAGCTCCCTGTCGGCTGTAACCACCCACAGCTCCTTCAAGGTCAGTCCAGTCACTTCAAGGATGCCATCCATCCATCTTGCCCTTGGTCGGCCCCTCTTCCTTTTGCCTTCCACTTTCCCCAGCATAATTGTCTTCTCTAGGCTTTCCTGTCTCCTCATGATGTGGCCAAAGTACTTCAACTTTGTCTCTAGTATCCTTCCCTCCAATGAGCAGTCGGGCTTTATTTCCTGGAGGATGGACTGGTTGGATCTTCTCGCAGTCCAAGGCACTCTCAGAACTTTCCTCCAACACCACAGTTCAAAAGCATCTATCTTCCTTCGCTCAGCCTTCCCTAAGGTCCAGCTCTCACATCCGTAGGTGACTACAGGGAATACCATGGCTTTGACTAGGCGGATCTTTGTTGCCAGTGTGATATCTATTATTTGGGGTTCTTTTACCCTGCCCTTCTCACCCCAGGGGGGACTCAGGGCGGCTTACATAAGCAAAGGCACAATTCGATGCCTGCATCATAAAACAATCATACACAAAATACACAAAATTACATCAGAACACAGTTACAACAATTCATGCATTATTAACATAAAATCAATAAAATCAATAAAAACCAATACAAACCCAATTTCTCCTTTTACCTGGTCAGCGTTCGCTAACTCATAGATCTAGTTTTACGTTCCACTTCATCAATCCTGCTGGTCTTACTCGCCTGATTGTCTGATTTAATTGCCGGAGTGCCCAAAGGCCTGGTCCCATAACCACGTCTTCACCCTCCTCCTGAAGGCGAGGAGGGATGGTGCTGCCCTGATTTCCCCCGGGAGTGAGTTCCACAGGTGAGGAGCCACCACTGAGAAAGCCCTGCTCCTCGTCCCCACCAACCTCACTTGTGAGAGTGGTGGGGTCAAGAGCAGGGCCTCCCCAGATGATCTCAGATTTCGGGGTGGGATGTAGAGGGAGATACATTCGGACAGATACGCTGGACTGGAACCGTAAATGGTTTTGTAGGTCAAAACCAGCACCTTGAATTGTGCTCGGAACTGAATCGGATATAAATAAAGTTTATTATTGTAAGTATTATTATTATTAACTGCCTTGGATCAATGTGATGGAGTTATGGGGGATGTAGTTTGAGAAGGTCTCGAGCCTTCTCTGCGAAAGGATGCTGGTGCCTCACCAAACTACAAATCCCAGCATCCCAGGGAATTGAATCAATGCAATTAAATGAGAGATGGGGTCCTGCAAAGAGGAGCTCCAGCTTCCTCTTTAGCTTTTGGTTCTTTTGGTTCAGTGTTGTAGTTTTGCAAGGCCTCGACCCTTCTCTCCCTCTGAGGCCCTCTAGATGTGAGACTACAACTCCCAGAATCCCCCTTTTGAGGAATCCCCTTATTATCCAAAGGGGAAAGGAGACTCCTCCCTGCAAGAACAGCCAGGAGAAGCCAAAGCAGAGCCCCCCTTTGCAGAAGCCAAAGAAAGGCCTTGTTTGTGGCTCTGCTGGGCCTCAGAGGGGGGAAAGCAAGAGGGAAAAGGCAGCCTGGCTCCCCCTTCGCCTCCCTTTGGGCCTGGCCTACCTCGCAGGGGTGTTGTGAGGACCAAGTGGGGCGCCAGGGCACTCTGCACACGCTCAGAGGCCACCCTCCTCCCTTCCCAGCACTTACCAGAACAAGGGATGCTTCTCTCAATCTCTCTCCAGCTGCCACTTCCGGTTTTGGGAGCCCCGCCTCCTCTGCGTCTCCAAACAGGAGGAGACCACGCCCCCTCCGCTTGCCACTGCGGACAAAGCCGGCTGCTCCCGCGAAGACGGAGCGGGCCGCCAGCCAATCGCCCGGCGCGCTCTTTGTGACGTTACCACCCCGCTCTCTATTTGGGCGGGCTCTTGCTGCTCGCTCTGGCCCCGCCCACTCCTCAGCGGGGAATCAAGGGAGTGCGCATGCTCAGAACCAGCAGCCTGGAAGTTTTGCCTGTCTTCTTTAGAGAAGATTTAATGTATTCCTTCACTGACACACTAATAACAATGTGTCCATGAAGAGCCACAATAGTTTCAAAACCCACACAAACATCCTGCAGCTACAGCTACATTTTTCCCAGGCTCAGCCAGGCCTTCAAATGCTAATGAAGGTGGTCAGTTGAAACCTAGCTCCAGCAGAGAAGAGCTCTTTGCCCCACCCCAGCCATTCCACAGATATATAAACCCATTGTCCTATTTCCAACAGACCTCACTACCTCTGAGGATGCTTGCCATAGATGCAGGCGAAACGTCAGGAGAGAATGCCTCTAGAACATGGCCATATAGCCCGAAAAAACCTACAAGAACCTAGTGATTCCAGCCATGAAAGCCTTCGACAATACATCCTGCAGCATGTTTTTAATTCCTGTTTCAGCCTGATTGTATCTCTCCAATATTTTGGAAAAAGTTGCCTTCTGGATTAGATGGTTCTGTATTATTATAGCTATGAATCGGAGACTGAATGGCCATCTGTCGGGAGGGCTTCGATTGTGGCCTTCATTGTAGATTGAAGATGCACTAAATTGAGGAAATTCTAGGATTCTATGGATTCATATAATTATTATTGCTATCAATAAATGAATGGCCATCTATCGGGATTTCTTTTTATTGTCGAAGGCTTTCATGGCTGGAATCAGTTCTTGTGGGTTTTTTCGGGCTATATGGCCATGTTCTAGAGGCATTTCTCCTGAGTTTCGCCTGCATCTATGGCAAGCATCCTCAGAGGTGAGGACCTCACCTCTGAGGATGCTTGCCATAGATGCAGGCGAAACGTCAGGAGAAATGCCTCTAGAACATGGCCATATAGCCCGAAAAAACTCACAAGAACTGAGTGATTCCAGCCATGAAAGCCTTCGACAATATATTTATTTATTATTCGAACTTATATGCCGCCACTCCTCTGGGGCTCGGAGCGGCTTACAAGAATGGCTAAAATCTAATACAATTTAAAAACAATTTAAAAACAGCAATATCAAAAATCAAATGCCTGCGGAAAGCTGATAAGTCCCACAAGGCACGGACTTCAGGTGGCAGAGTATTCCAGAGTGATGGTGCCACTGCTGTGAAGGCTCTGTGTCTCGTTGCTGTTAGACGCAAGGTCTTGACACTGGGAATTTCCAATAGATCTTGGTCCTCAGAACGGAGGGATCTCTGGGGTTGGTAGGGGGTGAGGCGGTCCCTCAGGTACATCAATCCCAGACCATGCAAGGCCTTAAAGGTGAGTACCATCACTTTGAAAGTGATCCGGTGCTCAATTGGTAACCAATGCAGCTGTAGTAAGATTGGTGTTATGTGGCATCTCATCGGAATTCCCGCAAGAAGCCGAGCAGCTGCATTTTGTACCAACTTGAGCTTCCGGATCACCGACAGAGGAAGGCCAATGTAGAGGGCGTTACAGTAGTCCAGTCTTGAGATGACCGTAGCCTGGATCACCGTAGCTAGGTCGTCCCTGGACAGGGAGGGGGCCAGCCGTCTAGCCTGCCGCAGATGAAAAAAGGCGGTTCTGCTAACGGCGGAGACCTGGGCCTCCATCGTCAGCAGAGGGTCCAAAAGGACTCCCAGACTCTTTACCAATGATGACGGGCGTAGCGCCTCGTCATCCAGGGTAGGCAGCTGGATGTCCCCACTGCCTGTTGACCCAGCCATAGGATCTCCGTCTTTGCTGGATTCACCCTCAACCTGCTGGCACGCAGCCATCCAGTAACGGCCTCGAGGCACTGATGGAAACAATCGGGTACAGAGTCCGGTCGGCCTTCCATCTTCAGCACCAGCTGAGTGTCATCGGCGTACTGATAACACTCAAGCCCAAAACCTTGAACCAGCTGAGCAAGTGGTCGCATATAGATGTTAAACAGTAGATTGAGGATGCACTAGATTGAGGAAACTCTAGGATTCTATGGAGTCATATTATTATTGCTATCAATAAATGAATTGCCATCTGTCAGGAGGGCTTAGATTGTGGCCTTCATTGTAGATTGGGGATGCACTGGGGATCTCCTCCAACTCTAGAACTCTATGGATCCAAATTATTATTATTGCTATCAATAAATGAATGGGCATCTGTTGGGAGGGCTTTGATAGTGCCTTGCTACATGCCAAAGTCTTGCACTGGATGCTATGGTTCTATATTATTATTATTATTATTATTATTATTATTATTATTATTATTATTATCAGATATTGCTAATATTATTGATATCAGCAATATCAATAATATTGCTATATTATTATCAGAGATTGACTGGCCCTCTGTTGTAAGAGTTTGGATAGTGGCCTTCATTGCTGATTGGGGATGGACTAGGGACATCTTCCAACTGTAGGATTCTAAAGTTGTATATTGTATTATTATTAAGTGGATAGGCATCTATTGGGAGGGTTTGATGGTGCCTTGCTACATGGCAAGGGCTTGGTCTGAATGTCCTCTGGGGTTCCCTTCTGACTCTAGGATCCTATGGTAAGCATCCTGTTGCCCTTATCCAGCCTCAACTGCCTCTCAGCATCCCACTTGCAGCCAGGCATTAGATAGGCTCAATTCCTGTAAAGAAGTGAGTCAAATAATATTAATGGAGGAGAATGGTCTCTTTTTGCAAACTCACAGGGTTTATGGTTGTGGTTCTCAACCCCTTAATACAGTTCCCCATGCTGAGGTGACCCCCAACAATGAAATTATTTTTGTTGCTACTTCATAACTGTCATTTTGCTACTGTTGTGAATCATAATGTAAATATTTGATCTGCAGGACATATTTTCAATCACTGGACCTGATACAAATACCCGATACACTCAAATTTGAATACTGATGGGGTTGGGGAGGGGGAATTGATTTTGCCATTTGGGAGTTGTAGTTGCTGGAATTTATAGTTCACCTACAATCAAAGAGCATTCTGAACTCCACCAACGATGGAATTTAATGAAACTTTGTCACACAGAACTCCCATGACCAATAGAAAATACTGGAAGGGTTTGGTGGGCATTGACTTGTTTTGGAGTTGTAGTTCAACTGCATTCAGGTAGAGCCCTGAGGACTCAATGATAGATTTTACCAAACTTGGCACGAATACTTAATATGCCCACATGTGAACATTGGTGGAGTTTTGGGAAAACAGACCTTGACATTTGGGAGTTGTAGTTGCTGGGATTTATAGTTCACCTACAATCAAAGAGTATTCTGAACCCCACCAATGATAGAATTGGGCCAAATTTTGTACACAGAACCTCCATACCTTGAAGTTACTTGCTGGCGTGAGCTTCCCTGCAGCCTCACATGCTCTCTCTCACCCCACACATGTGCAACATGCTGCCATGCGCCGAGCACACCTGCACTTCCCTCCCTGTTTGGAGTGTCAGAAACAGCCCTCCCCTTGGCTGAGAGGCTGGCCAATCACAGTAGGAGGAGGGGCTTTTGGTGGGAGGATTCACCATCTGTTTCCAAAAAGGAAAAGGACAGGCGGACAGCTCTTCCGCCTTCTCTGACAAAGGGGTTCCTAAGACCACCGGAAATATGTTTTCCGATGGTCTTTGGCAACCTCTCTGAAACTCCCTCACAACCCTCCTCCCAGGGGTCCCAACCCCCCAGTTTAAGAAACGCTGGTTTATGGCATAATATTAATCCATCCGATGTGGGATTTGGAAGGAAGAATCAACTGGATTCTAAACATCTTTATTGAACAGCCTTCTCCTTCACACCACCACAGAGCCTCAATGCAGGCCAAAACAACCAGGAGGCGATTTAAGATGCATGTAAATGGACTACCTGTCAGTCACTGAGGACCACTGGTCAGTCTCTGCTGCTGCAGGGAGCTCTGGAGGATGCGGAGCTCAACATTATTTCCTTCAGAGGCTCTCAGGCCAAGTGGGACACAAGAGGAATGGACACTCCACACACAGGGTTTCCATGATAGTGGCCTTGTTCCTGTCGCTGCCATGCAGACACTGAGGGCCCCTGCGCCTGCCGTGCACATGCAATGGGAAGCGATAGGCCCTGGCTCCTGGAATTGGGGTGGGAACACTCGCCATCCTCGTAGAAGAGCCAGTCTGCCGTGCAAAGGTCCAGAAGGAGCTGGGCACAGCCACCCCTCGAACCCTCACTGGCCTCAAGACTTTGAAACAAGGAACCGAACAGGAAATGCTTCCCTTCCATTTGCAGGGAAGGTACCTGACCTAAGAGAGTGACTGCAAAGGAAAGGTCACACACATCCGTAGCATCCCGTGGCCACACGGCCTCTTACAACACACAGCAGGACCTCTCCTTTGGGGCCAGGAGACTGGCTGATATCAGGAACGCTTTCTGTAGCTTTGCAACCTTTGGGATGGAAGAACTTCATAAAGAGCTAAGTGTGCATTTTTAGTTTTCAGAGTTCAGGTGGCTCCCACCAAGCAGAGGAGAGTGACATCTGTCCAGAAGAGCCAAGGTTTCACCAAGTGGAAGGGAACCCAAGACTCCTCTCTGTAGTTCCTGGGACAGAGGTGGCCCCTCTGCATACGAGGGCAGTCGTCACGCCAAGCCAGGGGTGAGGTGTCCATCTTCCCCCTCCTCGAGGACACTGTGGCTACCGGGCAGCTGCCACTTGTGCCTAGTGGCTGGCAGAACGTTTCCCTGGAGTCAAAGAGAAGAAAAGTTGAACATGAGCAAACAATGTAATGCTGTAGCTAAAAAAAGTCAATGGGATTTTGGGAGTGTAGCGTCCAGATGCAGGGAAGTCATGGTGCCTCTCTGTTTTTTTAAAATTTTAAACCATTACATCTGGCCCGGCCATAAGCTTTTAAATCCTGTGTGTTATTGTTACATGTGATTTATATTATTTTGCATTGCTTTGTATTGTTGTTATTGCTTTTCTGTTGTGATGTGTTGTTGGGCTTGGCCTCATGTAAGCCACTCCGAGTCCCTTGGGGAGATGGTGGCAGGGTATAAATAAAGTTTTATTATTATTACTATTCTGCTTTGGTTGGACCTCAACTGGAATACTGCGTCCAACCTTGGGCACCACAATTTAAGTCTTGGGTACCTTCCGGGTTGAGAAGGGCAGTATACAAATACCATAAATAAATAAAAAAATATATTGACTCTAAGCTGGAAGGTGTCCAGAGGAGGGCAACTAAAATGATCAAAGGCCTGGAGACCACAAATCCCTATGAGGAGTGTCTTAAAGACACAGAAGAGAAGGTTGAGAGGAGACACGAGAGCCATTTAAAAATACGCGAGAGGATGTCATAAGGAAGAAGGAGCAGGCTTGTTTTCTGCTGCCCTGGAGATTAGGACTTGCAGCAATGGGTTCAAATTACAGGAAAGGCGATTCCATCTGAACATGAGGAATTTATTTATTACTTATTTATTTACAGTATTTATATACCGCTTTTCTCACCCTTAGGAGGACTCAAAGCGGTAGATAACTTCTTGACCGCAAGAAGAGCTGTTCAGCAGTGGAACTCTCTGTCTGGAATGTCCTCCCTAGAGAGATTAGATTAGACCCAAATCTCCAAACCTTTTGTTTGAGCCTAAAAACATAGCTATTTACATGGGCCTTCGATCTGGAGTAATGTACTAGGGTCATGTGATGACGTCGACCATTATTATTTGGCACTGCAGTTCATGTTTGAAGAAACCCGATGGCCCACAAGTATGACTGTGTTTTAGAATTTCTAATTTTTTAAATTTTATTGATTGACTTTGTCTATAGTTGTGTATTGTTTTGATGATAGGTAATTCTATTTTATGTGTGGCACCTTGAGTGTTTTGTTAGCTGCCCAAGTCCCTTCCGGGAGATGGTGGCGGGATACAAATAATAATAATAATAATAATAATTATTATTATTATTATTATTATTATTATTATTTGAAACACAGCAAGATGAGTCCACAGCAGACACTCTTCTGGCTGTTGTGTAGGATTATTATTATTATTATTATTATTATTATTATTATTATTATTAGACGCCAACGACTTAAATCAAGAAATAGTTTTCTAAGATTTACAGAGACACTTGCTGAAACACCTCAGCAAGCGAGAGTCCAAAAGTGGCAGGCTCAAACCCAGAACCTCAATCAATGGCTGATACCAAATGAGAGACTCCCTCCTGGGCACACAGAAGACTGGGCGACTTGGAAGGCGCTGAACAGACTGCGCTCTGGCACCACGAGATGCAGAGCCAACCTTAAGAAATGGGGCCACAAAGTGGAATCCACGACATGCGAGTCTGGAGAAGAGCAAACCACTGACCACCTGCTGCAATGCAACCTGAGCCCAGCCACATGCACAATGGAGGACCTTCTTGCAGCAACACCAGAGGCATTCCAAGTGGCCAGATACTGGTCAAAGGACATTTATTCAACTACCAAGCTTGCGAACTCTGTGTCTTTTGCATGTTTGTTTGTTCTGTCAAAAATGTAATACAACTGTTCAGTTGCCTGACACGATAAATAAATAATTATTATTGGAGTGTGATGATGTTCTTTCTTTGAAGGCTGGATGGCCATCTGTCAGGGGTGTGTTGAGTGTGCGTTTCCTGCCTGGCAAGGGGTTGGACTAGATAGCCCATGAAGTCTCTTCCAACTCTATGATTCTATGCAAAGGTGGCCAGTGACAGAGAGCAGAAGTAGCCAGGGCTGTGCCCCATTACCTCCTGCTCCACAGCTCTGCCTTTCCCTGACAGCCTACAAACAGCTGGATGGAAAGAGAAACCCTTCTTCCTGGCTGACCTAGCCATCCCTGCTACCCTCCCAGGCCTGGAGGGAGGGCCTTTGCCAAACCACTCCAGCAAGAGGCCCTGCCTGTCTTGGACACAGCCACCTAGAGTGGAGGCTCCAGCAGACCCCTTACAGAGACCTGTCAGCTTGGAAAAGAACCCAAGGGGCTCCCTACCTCAATCAGGAGCTAAACATCCTCTTAAGTTTAGCTAGGAATCCCTGCGTGCCGCCCCCTGCCTCGGGACTCTCGGCGCCTGCCCCCGGTTCAGCCGGGCCCCTGCCACCACCTAGGCATAAACACAGCAGAGAGCGCATCGGAGTGTGCGTTGCATGAAGAGGCCCCTATCATCCCATTTGCCTGACATCTTGCCAGAAGAGGAATGCCTGTCCCTTCCTCAGAGATCCTTCCCCATTGTACTACTTGCCAACTTGGCAGCCTTCAAGATCTCCTGGCTCTGCTAGGCTTTACTCTGACTGACCTGCCCACCACATTATATTTGCATCATTCAATATTCCTGTGCATGGGATCTCTCTATACATTTTTTACTTCTATTCACTAACTTGCTGACCATACAGGGAGCATGGAATATATAAGCATGGCTTACAGGGGAAACGGCCTGGCTGCCCTGCCCACTACTTACAGTTTTATCAACATCCATGCTTTCTCTTACTATCTCCTAAGTCCTTTGGTTTCCCTCAAGTCAATCTCAGTCTGATCCTGTGTTAAGGGAGAATTGTAACACTTCCTGAGTGATGGCTTCCAAACAGGGCCCATAGAAAAGGAGGGGGGGGGGTGAGATAGGTTGTAGTAATGCCTTTTCCTTGCAGACTTTGCTGGCAAGGAATGGCACCCAGTGAAGTTCAAGGCCGTGCCAAATGGCGACAAAAGGCTTCAAGAGCACCCCAGAGCAGGCCAGTTCAGAGTGCCCCACCCCTGCCTCCCTAAAGCCTTCTTCCCCACAACAACGTGCCGCCAGGCCTCACCAGTCGTGGTGTTTGTAATGCCATTCACGGTCCCTTCCACGTCAGTCTCGTCCTCACCATAGCTCTGCATCAGAGCCCGCTGCCGGTCTGTCAACTTCCTGTAGGGAGGCAGGGAAGGGTAGAAAGGAAGGGGAGCTACATAGATGGTCTCATGGAGGCCCAGGGAACCCTATCACACCACAAGGCAAGGCTCCAATGCCAAAGGAACACAGTAACATGTCTCTCAACTGGTGCCAAACCATACAATTATTTCATGGTTCTCTTACAGGACCCTGACAATGCCTCTACGTACTTGGGAATCTTGATCTTGATGTGAATGTAGTGGTCTCCATAGCCGTAACTGTTGACTCTGGGAATGCCCTTCCCGCTCATCCGAATCCTCTGGTCGGCCTGGATGCCCGGTGGGATCTGCACAAACACACAGATCATGGTATTCATAGAATCATGGAATTGGAAAAGACCTCGTGGACCATCCAATCCAACCCCATTCTGCCAAGAAGCAAGAAAATTGTATTCAAAGCACCCTCGACAGATCGCTATCCAGTCTCTGTTCAAAAGCCTCCAAAGAAGGGGCCTCCACCATTCACTCAAACAATGCTTCATTTCCCCCAGGAGCCAGTCCTACTGAGCCCTCTTTTTGTTTTCTTTGTGGCTCATCACCAAGAGTGTTTCTAGAAGGGCCTGAACAGAGAGGCAAAAGAGGAACTAGATTTTTAAATTTTTGTGTGTTATTGTCTATATGTGAGTTATATTGACTATATTGTTTATTTGCTTATTGCTTTGTTGTTTACTGATGTGTTGTTGGGCTTGGCCTCATGTAAGCTGCCCCGAGTCCCCTTGGGGAGATGGTGGCAGGGTATAAATAAAACATTATTATTATTATTATTATTATGCAAAAAGCAGGCCCAAGGACTGGCTGCCACATACCACGATGCTGATGGTCTCATATAGCCCCGGCGACCTGGCCGTGCCCCCGAGGACGGCTTGGGCGATAGAGATGTAGAGGTCCGAGTGAATGTCCGCACCGTCCCTCCGGAAGACAGAGCTCTTCTGGACCTGCAAAGAGGAAGCCGGCTTGGCTCAGAGGTGCAGAAAGAGCAGGGCCTGGGCTGTTCCCAGGTGGAGTATAACACTATGTAACATTTCATCATTGGCTCTATCATAAAAAATGGAAAAGGTTTATTAAACTGCAAAAGCTTTTTTTTTGCAGGAGGGACATCCTGCAGCACATTTTGCTCTAGTTTCTCAATGAATATATAATCAGGTCTCAACCAATTCAACATAGCTTGTGCCAGCAACAAAAGCAACAAAGTTTCTGCAGCATAACAATGATTTTCAAAGTAAGGACTGCACAATTAAACAAGAGACACTTTCAAAACAGGAACAGACATTTTTCAAATTTTGTTACATGGTGTAATTAAAGCAGGAGAGATTGCCATAAATACGCACCCGGAAGGTAATGAAAATCTCCTTCTTCCCAACCGGCATGCGCACAGTCTGACCATCCTCCACTCCTGGCACCAAAAGAAGGGCAGAAATGTGAATTCTCCCCCAAGAATCATACCTTCTCTTCTAACTCTCCCAGAAATATGCACTTTGGAGGAACAGGAGACTGGACTCTCAGTCCTTACGTACAAGGGCTCGCTGTTCTGTAAAGATATAACACTTCCTAACTAAAGTGTTTCTCAGGCCATGAACTGAGTTGCACAGACCTGCCGGGACTGGGACCACGACCGTCTTCTTCTGCTTGGTCTGGCCGGTGCCGCGGCAAAGAGCGCAAGGGGTGGTCATCACAGAACCACGTCCGCTGCAGCGCCGGCACGTTGAGCGCATGACAAAGGGCCCCGTGTTGATTGTCTCCTATCAAAAGGAAGATGCAGGGAAAGATGAAACAATGGGAGACAAAGCCTCCACTGCATGAGTTGATACATGAGTTGAGTGAGTCCCAAAAGCAGCAGTTGGGAGAGCAAGCGGCCTCTGTCTGCCCAAGGGTCCCATCTCCTTCTGCTCTTACCATTCCCGTTCCGTTGCAGTAGTGGCAGTGCTGGACTTTGGTGCCTGGTTCGTTCCCTTTGCCGTCGCACCGCTGGCAGGCATCGTTGATGCTCACCGCAATTTCCTTGTTCACCCCTTTTGCAGCCTGATTGAACGTCAGGTCCATGACGTACTGAAAGGGAGAAAAGAGTACTTTGATTGTACTTTTCCTGCATGGATTGGGGGGGGTGGTGTACTAGATGACCCATATAGTCTCTTCCAACTCTATTATTCTATGATTCTGTGTTTGCTCGAAGTGCAATCAAAGGGCAGGTCTCGCTGAACCAAAGAAGTGGAAAACAACACACGTTTCTCTCAATTTGCTTTCCAATTTCAGTTCAGGCAAAGGAAGGGGTGCTTAACCCCTTTCTCACCAACTCCTGATGTCTTCTGCAAACCACCTTCCTGTCTGCCCAGCTCCATCTCTGTGTGTTAACTCATGTTCCCTTGAAACATATCATTCCTCTCTCCTCTCTCCTCCCAACAAACACTGTCATACACCAAAGTGTATGAGCGCACACACGCCTCCTGCTTACCTCTTGGGGCTGGTCGAAAACAGTGTGAAAATCCCCAAAAGGTGACCCCGAAAACTCCCCAAAGATTTTCCGGAAGAGTTCCTCAGGATCCACCGAAGGGCCTCCTCGCCAATATTGCTGTCCAGTCCCTGCAGAGCCAGGGTCAAAGCCTGCTGCCCCGTAAGTGTCGTACTGCTTCCGCTTCACTTCGTCGCCCAAAACCTACAAAGGGAGAATGCGAAACACACAGAAATTGACATCTTGCAAGACTCAGCTGTGAGAGCTTGGAGCCCCATTGCAAAAGAGAACCGAGAAACCTGCCACATTACCTCATAGGCTTCAGCCAATTGGGAAAACTTCTCCTTCGCTTTAGGGTCTTCTTTGTTGGTGTCCGGGTGGTACTTCTTGGCAAGCTAAGCAAAAGGTAAGCAATGTGATATCAGAATAAGGACGAGATCCCTCAGCATGCTACTTCTATTTGCATCCTTGAACTTGTAATTAGTTGCCTTGTGTTTACATAGTTTGGAAAATAAAATAGTTACATCACTGAGATTTTATATTATTAGGTGATCTGCATTTAACATCCTCAATTACACTGTAGAAATTGCACCATTTATAAAAGAGAATGGGGACATCACTGAGGTTGTGTATTATTAGATGATATGTAGTGAAACATTGGATACAGCGACTATAACTCAGGGAAAGAGCTGGCTATTCTATACTTGCTCTCTATTTTCTTAATAAAAGCCAAGTGATGCAATGCAATTAAATCTTGTTAAAATAGGAACATCACAGGACTTTGTCTTAAATATGAGAATATGTGGAGCAAATGGGAACAGAGAAGGGTTGTATATTAAAAAAGAATCAACTCCTGGTAAAAGACTATGGTTCTTGAGCTGTTAATGCAAGACAATATCATTAGAAAGGCACCAAGGGAAGTGGAAGGTTGGGGATGGCAGTCAGTAGCATGAGAAAAGAAGGACTAAAGGTAGTACCCAAGTTACGAACAATAATATACATACAGAGAGTTTTGGGTGGCATAAGGAAGGATGAACACCCCTGTGGTGTTTCCTTTGCTTACTGTGTGTCCCTGTTCAGAAGATTTCACCTCACTTTCTGTCCTTGGGAGAATTGGATTTTAGGAAATTTGGCTTGTTGTGGAAACACAAGCCAACACAAGCCAGGGGAGATCCCTTTTCCCCATGATAACACTATGTAACACAATTTTTGTTCCTAGGTTATGAATGTCACTTACTAATTGGTTCTATTATAAAATCATGGAAAACATTTATTGAACTGCAAAAATTTTGTTTCTGCAGGACACCCTGTAGTACATTTGTAATAGTTTTTCAATTAATATGTGATTGAGTCTCCATCAATTCAACAGAGTTTGTGGGAGCCACAAAAACAAAGTTTTCGAAGTATAACAAACTACTTTCAAAGTAAGTACCAAACAATTAAACAGGAAATAACACTTTCAAACCAGGAACAGATTTTTTCCAAATGTTGTTATATAGTGTAATAGCTTTTCCATGAGTGATTTCCCTCCCTAGGGTAGATTCCTTTCATTTTCTGTTGTCTCAGCCCAGTTCCTCACTAGGAGTCCTTTGCAAGTCGGATTTTTGTAACTCGGGGGCTGCCTATATTCCTTGTGAAAGGAGATGCTACAGATCGGGGGGGCGGGGGGGGCGGCTGGAGAGTTCCCAAAGTACAAAGGGAAATGCAGTCCAAGAGGAAAAGGGCACAAATCAATCTGCAGCACTCCCTTCCTCCTGAAGCTGATACTCCTCTTCTGAGAAATGCAGTCTATCTCCAAACATACCTGGTTTTTGTTTTTGTTTTGGTCGTGTCAGGAGCGACTTGAGAAACTGCAAGTCGCTTCTGGTGTGAGAGAATTGGTCGTCTGCAAGGACATTGCCCAGGGGACACCCGGATGAATTGATGTTACCTGGTAATAGGCTTTCTTGATCTCCTTCTGGGTGGCACTGCGAGGGACCCCCAGAACCTGGTAATAATCCTCCTTGGCGCTACTGATTGAACTGGTGTGGAATGAGGCGGCGGCAGTGCAAACAAGTGGATGGGACCTCATTTCTACAAAAAAGAAAAACAGGTGTTTATTGTCACTGAGGGAAACCTCAATGACCCCAATCCTTGTGAAAATGCAATAGCCCCCTTTAAATTTGGACACTTGTTTGTGGTCTTTCTGTGTACATTTATCTGTGTGTTTTACTTTTGTATTTGTGTCTTGTTGTTTCTAGTAGGCCTCTAGTTGTAGGGTTGCAACAGCAACAGGTTGAATGTAAACGTTTAGTTTTAATACAGATATAATTTATTGTTCTATTAGTCCTGTGCAATTACTACATTTCAGTTGTAAGACACCATCGTTTGGAAGGCGCACACTGATTTCAGTACCCTCACCAATGATACATAAGATACACCTATGATTTATTTTAATTTTAAAGTATTTATTATTACTATATTTTTAAAGTAATTATTATATTTAAACATATTTATTATTTAACAGTATTTATTAGTATTGATTCTAAGGGGCATCCCATTTTTATTATATATGGGATTTATTATATATTTTAATATATTATAATTATATATTTTATATTACATGTAATATTACTAATAATATTACAATATAATTATATAGTACAATATAGTAATATATAATACTGATATTGTACTATGCTAATAATATAATATATTGTATGTATATATATCTTGTAAGCCGCTCTGAGTCCTCTTTGGGGTGAGAAGTGCGGCATATAAATGTCATAAATACATAAATAAATAATCAAAATTTTAGAGAAGTTTGTATAGGGAAAAAATGCATCTTTGAATCAAATAAATATTTTTTTTATTAAATAAAGATTATTAATAGAGTGAAGCGGTTGTCCCTGTCAACAAGGGTCATGAAGAAACAGCCAATGGGTGGATGATTTTTCCTTTGAGGAAAGGAGAAGGTTGTCCTTCCCTCGAAGGAAGGAGGCAAAGCTGGGGTTTGGAGGAGACGTTGGATCTCTTTGGAAAAAGAGACACCCAGTGGGGAAAGCAAAGCGGATTCTTCCCAGTGGTCAGATCAGTGGTTCCCAACCTTTTTTTGACAAAGGATCACTCTCAACATTAGTATCAAAAGAGTTACAAATCAGTTTTTGGTCAACGTTAGATTTGGTCTGGTTTATTTGGGGTGCTGATTCAGAAAATTGCATTGGATAGACCACATCAGCTCCAGTTTCTGATACAGAACATATGTCATCCCGTAGTCGCCATCTGCTCGCTCACAGACAATCTAGTACTGATGTGGTCGTAGTAATCTTTTGTGGATAGTCAGCCTTTCCCCTCCCAACATCCTCCCCGTTGCCTTGGCACTACAAGAGGGGTTCACGAGACCAGTTGCTCTTGTTGCCGTGTGATTTCAAGGCAAAAGTGTTGTAATGGTGAGGCCGCGGACCATATTTTCGTTCTTGAGAACCATTGGGATATATAGATATCCACTGCTTCTGTCCTATTCAGGTTTTTTGGTTTGGTCGCAACCTGAAAGACGAATTTGATGGAAATCTATCTATGTATTTGGCTTGCTGGTTGGAGGAAGCAGACATTGCCCAATGTTGGATCCGGGCTCATTCCTCCCAATGCCTTTCTGGGTCACAATGTGATTTTTAGCTCTGAATATGTCCCAATGGATTTTGACTGTGAATTTTTAATACATTCATGTTCAATTCTGTTATAATGTTTATATATTTGTATATTTTAATTTGTGTGATCATACTTTTAATTATAAGTTGCTCTGAGTCTCCTTCGGGAGAGATAAAGCAAGGTATAAACATATTATTATTATTATTATTATTAATATAATATAATAATTTCTCATTTGGTATCAGCCATTGGTTGAAGTGCTGGGTTTGAGCCTGCCACTTTTGGACTCTCGCTTGCTGAGGTGTTCCAGCGAGTGTCTCTGTAGATCTTAGAAAACTATGTCTAGATTTAAGTCGTTGACGTGCTGGCTGATACCCAAACAAGGGGTGAGCTGGAGATGTCACTGCCTTGGTCCTTTCACTATTGGCTGCTACTTCCCGGCGGATGTCAGGTGGTGCAATACCGGCTAAGCAGTGTAATTTCTCCAGTGGTGTAGGGCGCAGACAACCCTGTGATAATGCGGCATGTCTCATTAAGAGCCACATCTACTGTTTTAGTATGGTGAGATGTGTTCCACACTGGGCATGCATACTCCCTCCTGGGCACACAGAAGACTGGGCGACTTGGAAGGCACTGAACAGACTGCGCTCTGGCACCACGAGATGCAGAGCCAACCTTCAGAAATGGAGCCACAAAGTGGAATCCACAACATGCGAGCGTGGAGAGGAGCAAACCACTGACCACCTGCTGCAATGCAACCTGAGCCCTCCCACATGCACCATGGAGGACCTTCTTGCAGCAACACCGGAAGCACTCCAAGTGGCCAGATACTGGTCAAAGGACATTTAACCAACTACCAAACTCACAAGTTTTGTATTTTTCTGTTTGTTTGTTTTGTTCTGTTAGCAATGTAATATAATGGACTGGCTGCTCTGACACGACAAATAAAAATAAAATAATAACAATATTCCTCTGAACATGAGGAAGAACTTCCTGACTGTGAGAGCCGTTCAGCAGTGGAACTCTCTGCCCCGGAGTGTGGTGGAGGCTCCTTCTTCGGAAGCTTTTAAACAGGGGCTGGATGGCCATCTGTCAGGGGTGATTTGAATGCAATATTCCTGCTTCTTGGCAGGGGGTTGGACTGGATGGCCCATGAGGTGTCTTCCAACTCTATGATTCTAATAATAATAATAATAACAATAATAATAATAATAATAATAATAATAATAGCCTCACTTAAACTCCAGGATAGAAGTAACCTCAATAAGGAAGGATAACTGTTTTTGGCTTCGCTTTGACTTCAAATCCCAACACATATCTTCCCTAGCCCCTCCCATCTCTCCTGGGGGCCCTGCACTCTGCACACGCTCAGAGGCACGCTTGACGTCACTCTTAGAGCCGCTAGCCCTCACCAATGCCGCTTCCGAGCCTGGGGGCCCAGACCGGGCGAGGCGCGAAGGGCCTTCCGGGGCCCCCACTCAGCCCCCGGGCCAGGCGTAGCAACAGTAGCCGCCTCTGCGCCCCGCCGCCCGCCATCATCGCCGCCGCTGCCTCCTTCAGCCAGCGTGAGGAGCACACAGCCGCCATCTTGGGCCGCCCGGCAACACTGCGCCTGCGCAAGGCGTCCCAGCCAGCCGAAGAGCAACCCTCTGCGCACGCGCGTTGGAGAAGGGGGCGGAGTTAAAGACCAGCGGCGACCTACTGCGCCTACGCCTCCCAATCTCTCGCGGACTTAAAAGACCAGCGGCAACCTACTGCGCCTGCGCCTCCCAATATCTCGCGGAGTTAAAGACCAGCGGCGACCTACTGCGCCTGCGCCCGCCGGTCTCTCGCGTTCTGAGCTTTCAAGTCCTCTTTTGCAGCGGTCAATTCCATAGGTGGCGGCTTGGGAAGAACAGGCGTCCTCCTGGGTCCTAGTGCTCATTGTGTTTGCTTTTTTATTTTTCCACAGTGTCAAAATAATTATGCAATGTGACACCACTCAACGACACGGAGCTTTATCAGATCTTTCAGCCTTTCTCTGTCGAAGTGTGCAAAGTATACTCTCCCAGGATTTCATAACATGGAACCAGGGCAGTTGGAGTGGTCCCAAACCGCATTCAATGTAGTGTAGAGCAGATATGAGCCAACTTGGGCCCTCCTGGTGTTTTGGACTTCAACTCCCACAAGTGTGAATGTTGCAATTGGCCACGTTGATTAGTATTTAATGGCCTTGCAGCCTCAAAGCCTGGCTGCTTCCTGCCTGGAGAAATCTTTTGTTGGGAGGTGTTAGCTGGCCCTGATTGATTCTTGTTTGGAATTCCCGTTTTTTAAGTGTTGCTCTTTATTTATTGTCTTGATGTTAGAGTTTTTTTTAATACTAGTAGCCAGATTTTGTTCATTTTCATACTTTCCTCCTTTTTGTTGAAATTATCCACCTGCTTGTGGATTTCAGTGGCTTCTCTGTGTAGTCTGGAACATGCCCATGCCAGGTGTTGAGCGATCACATACTCAGTTTGGACTGCTACAAAAATAAAACAGCTTGTATGGCTAATTGCACCCCAAGTAATAAACTAAATTGGTTCCAGAGTGGTTTTGACAAGCTGGAATGTGTCCAGAGGAGGGCGACTAAAATGATCAAGGGTCTGGAGAACAAGCCCTATGAGGAGCGGCTTAGGGAACTGGGCATGTTTAGCCTGAAGAAGAGAAGGCTGAGAGGAGATATGATAACCATGTATAAATATGTGAGAGGAAGCCACAGGGAGGAGGGAGCAAGCTTGTTTTCTGCTTCCTTGGAGACTAGGACGCGGAACAATGGCTTCAAACTACAAGAGAGGAGATTCCATCTGAACATGAGGAAGAACATCCTGACTGTGAGAGCCGTTCAGCAGTGGAACTCTCTGCCCCAGAGTGTGGTGGATGCTCCTTCTTTGGAAGCTTTGAAACAGAGGCTGGATGGCCATTTGTCAGGGGTGATTTAAATGCAATATTCCTGCTTCTTGGCAGGGGGTTGGACTGGATGGCCCATGAGGTCTCTTCCAACTCTTTGATTCTATGATTCTATGATTTTGTATTAGTGTTATGCCTCCGATTATAGGTTTCTGCAGCTGGAGGATGGGTAGAGATCTCACAAACTGAGCATTGATTAGAGGAGAGCTAGACCCAGCTACTCTGGGGGTTTCTGGGAGTTGTACTCTCCAAGAGCTCCCCTCTTCCAAAGTTTCATTGCCTCTTTATTTATCCAAGGGGCCAAAGCAACCTTTGGGACAGTGGTCTTCATATGCTGCCCCAGTCCTTGGCAATTGAGAATTGGCTCTGACCCATCCTTATCTCCTACTATGAATCATAGTTTAAGTTTAAGATCATCCGGAGAGGCCCTGCTCTCGATCCCTCCGCCATCGCAAACGCGATTGGTGGAGACAACAGACAGGGCCTTCTCAACAGTGGCTCCCCATCTGTGGAATTCCCTCTCCAAAGACATCAGACTGGCCACCTCCCTCCTGTCCTTTAGAAGGAAACTCAAGACTTGGCTGTGGGACCTTGCATTTAACCATTGAATAGCAGCTTGTATGAAGAAGACATAAGCAATTTCGAAGTGACAATGAATTGACCCGGATTTTAATTGGCACGTTTTAACAACTGTTTATTTATTGTTTTGTTTTAATTATTTTCTTGATTGTTCTTATCATTATGATGGCACCTAATGGTGTTTGCTGTGAGGCTGCCCTGAGTCCCCCCTGAGGGGTGAGAAGGGTGAGGTACAAGTATATTAAATAAATAAATAAATGAACCCTTTCCTTCCCATCCTAAAAAAGAAGCCAGGATCAGATAGCAGTTGGCAGGTGACAGTAAAGGCCTTTTTGTTTTTATTCCGAATGCTGGGGAAGGGACATGCTACATCAGTGTTTCGCAACCTGGTGGTTGCGAGGGGGTGTCAGAGGGGTATTTTCTGTTGGTCCTGGGTGTTCTGTGTGGGAAGGTTGGCCCAATTCTATCATTAGTGGGGTTCAGAATGCTCTTTGATTGTAGGCAAACTATAAATCCCAGCAACTACTATTCCCAAATGTCAACCCCCTAGGGGGGGACTCAGGGCGGCTTCCAGCTGGCACATATTCGATGCCTACAATTAAACACAATAAAATATACAACAAAACAGTCATTATAAATCATTAAAATATTGAGTTAATACAATAAAATCTACTGAAAAAGAAGCCATACATATACATACAATACATTATATTATTTTCCAGCAAAGGATCACCGCCTTGTTGTGGCGTTGGAGCACCTCAATGATGTCATGAGCGAAACCGTGAAGGGCCACCCAACACGGGACGGTCGTGGCAGAGAGGTCAGACCAAGCGTGATCCCTGGGGAAGGCAATGGCAAACCACTCCAGTATCCTTGCCAAGAAAACTAAATGGACCAGTACAACCAGAGATATGTCAGTATGCCATTGGAAGATGGGACTCCCAGGTCGGAAGATGGCCAAAATGCTACTGGGGAGGAGCAGAGGATAAGTTCAACTAGCCCCAGATGTGATGACGCAGCTAGCTCAAAGCCGAAAGGAAGGCTAGCGGCCGACGGTACTGGAGGTGAACGACGAATCCGATGCTCTAAAGATCAACACACCATAGGAACCTGGAATGTAAGATCTATGAGCCAGGGCAAATTGGATGTTGTTATTGGTGAGATGTCAAGACTAAAGATAGACATTGTGGGGGTCAGCGAACTGAAATGGACTGGAATGGGCCACTTCACATCAGATGACCACCAGATCTACTACTGCGGACAAGAGGAACATCGAAGAAATGGAGTAGCCTTCATAATTAATAAGAAATTCGCTAAAGCAGTGCTTGGATACAACCCAAAATATGACAGAATGATCTCAATTCGAGTGCAAGGAAAGCCTTTCAACATTACAGTGATCCAAATATACGCCCCAACCACAGCTGCTGAAGAAGCAGAAGTAGATCAGTTCTATGAGGATCTGCAGGACCTACTGGATAATACACCAAAAGGAGACATTATTTTCATTACAGGAGACTGGAATGCCAAGGTGGGAAGTCAAATGACAACAGGGATCACAGGCAAGCATGGTCTGGGAGAACAAAATGAAGCGGGACGCAGGCTGATAGAATTTTGCCAGGAAAACTCGCTGTGTATAACGAATACTCTCTTCCAACAACCTAAAAGACGGCTTTACACATGGGCCTCACCAGACGGTCAACACCGAAATCAGATTGACTACATCCTTTGCAGCCAAAGGTGGCGGACATCCATCCAGTCGGTGAAAACAAGACCTGGGGCTGACTGTAGCTCAGATCACGAACTTCTTATTGCTCAGTTTAGAATAAAACTAAAGAGATCAGGGAAAATACACAGACCAGTTAGATATGATCTCACTAACATTCCTACAGTGGAAGTGAAGAACAGATTTGAAGGACTAGATTTAGTAAACAGAGTCCCAGAAGAACTATGGACAGAAGTCAGAGACATTGTTCAGGAGGCGGCAACAAAGTACGTCCCAAAGAAAAAGAAAACCAAGAAGGCAAAATGGTTGTCTGCTGAGACACTGGAAGTAGCCCAAGAAAGGAGGAAAGCAAAAGGAAACAGGATAAGGGGAGATATGCCCAGTTAAATGCGCAATTCCAGAGGTTAGCCAGAAGAGATAAGGAACTATTTTTAAATAAGCAATGCATGGAAGTGGAAGAAGACAACAGAATAGGAAGGACAAGAGACCTCTCCAGAAAATTAGAAACATTGGAGGTAAATTTCAGGCAAAAATTGGTATGATAAGAAACAAAGATGGCAGGGACCTAACAGAAGCTGAAGAGATCAAGAGAAGGTGGCGAGACTATACAGAAGATCTGTATAGGAAGGATAATAATATCGAGGATAGTTTTGACGGTGTGGTGAATGAATTAGAACCAGACATCCTGAGGAGTGAGGTTGAATGGGCCTTAAGAAGCATTGCTAACAACAAGGCAGCAGGAGACGACGGGATCCCAGCTGAACTGTTTAAAATCTTAAAAGATGATGCTGTCAAGGTGATGCATGCCATTTGCCAGCAAATATGGAAAACACAAGAATGGCCTTCAGACTGGAAAAAATCAACTTATATCCCCATACCAAAAAAGGGAAATGCGAAAGACTGCTCAAACTTCCGTACAGTGGCCCTTATTTCTCATGCCAGTAAGGTAATGCTCAAGATCCTGCAAGAGAAGACTCCAGCAATACATGGAGCGAGAGTTGCCAGATGTTCAAGCTGGGTTTAGAAAAGGCAGAGGAACGAGAGACCAGATAGCCAATATCCGCTGGATAATGGAGAAAGGCAGGGAGTTTCAGAAAAACATCTATTTCTGCTTCATTGACTATTCTAAAGCCTTTGACTGTGTGGATCATAATAAATTGTGGCAAGTTCTTGGTGGGATGGGCATCCCAAGCCACCTTGTCTCTCTCCTGAGGAATCTGTACAAGGACCAAGTAGCAACAGTCAGAACTGACCACGGAACAACAGACTGGTTCAAGATTGGGAAAGGCGTACGGCAAGGCTGCATACTCTCACCCAACCTTTTTAACTTGTATGCAGAACACATCATGCGATGTGCGGGGCTTGATGAATGCCAAGCTGGGGTGAAAATTGC